AACAGAAAAACTGATCTCAATTTGAAGTGGAAACATAACCAGTGTCAACCTTTGCAGATGTAAATAACACTTTTTAAATTATGCCAATTCTGCTCACTGATGAAAATCCTACATGTATTAGTTTCCTTCTGTTAGCGTTGTTGTAAATATGTAAAGAAATTGATGATGGAAAGGAAGAAACGCCTTCTGAATAAATCATTGACAAAGCATTTTCTGACTCTACGTTTGGCAGAAAAAATGTAAACAGAAATACAAGTATAGCCAGTGAACAGGAGCCTGAAAGTCTGCTCTGCTCTCCTGGGTCTGAATGCTATGAAAACGAAAGACATTCCAGGAGAAAATACAAAATGGCTGTTTTAATTTGTTTTGATTTTTAAAAAAAATACTTAGGACAAGACAACAATGGAAATCAAAGCTATATAAATTAATTATAAATATACAGCTATTCAAATATTTCCATACAAATAATAATAATAATAATAATAATAATAATAATAATAATAATAATAATAATAATAATAATAATAATAATAATAATACAAATACACTTGAGCTGTCAAAATATCAATCTTTTCTAGTAAAGCCAAAGTTTTTTTGTGGGTCTTTTTTAACTTTAAATTGTATTTCTCTAAAATGTGTATTTTTAGAGTACATTTCTCAGAATGCACTCCATGTTTGCATCCTACATCTGACATCATGACACAAGCTTCACCAGGGACAGATCCTGTACTGGGCTTGAGCAAAACCCCCATTAGTCCTCCATGTGGCAGTCATAAGTCCAGTTACAGCCTGAAGACCTTTGTTTACGTCTTCTCTCTGTCTTTATTTGAGCCAAAAAACTCTGATGAAAAAGTGATGATTTATTAGTTTCCTTCTGTATTTGAAGTAAACTAAATGATTTGAGAAAGACTGACTTACATTTGTCATCCTGAACACAGTTAATTAATAAATTGAGTTAGATGATAATAATATATTGAGTTGGATAGACATAACTTGAGTTAGTTAAACTTAATTGAATTATTTGTTACCAATTGAAGCAATTCATTTGAGTTGGTTCAACTAAATTACTTTTACAGTATGTTATTTATTCTTAAATGGTGCTTTTGTACCTTTTAAGAAATGCCAAATAATTATTGATAAAAGTTAATGAAAAACTGTTATTAATTTAATATTCTACAGCTATAAAAAATAGATTTCAAATTTTGTCTTGCATTTTTGTTAATGATTGTTAAATTGCAACGTAAAAAGCTGTTCGTTTAATTAGATTTAAATTCTGGCTTCTTGCCAATTAAAATAAAAATAAAATAGAAATTTCTAATTTCTATTTTAATTAAAAAATAGAAATGTTTTAATTTGCCAGTGATGACCTGATAATTCTTCATAGTCAGATGGTCTTTCTTGAACACTGACAGTTGAAATGGGCTGAAACTCTGCTTGTGACCCTGAAGAAGACAAAATAGACTCACACAATGGTATAAATGTTTTTTTTTTCTTTATCTTGCCTCCCAAATGTGGCAGTGATTCTTCCTTTGAGACAAAGTAATGATGATTTTTACCTGTTATCTGAATGGAGACTAGAGGACTGATAGCATCAACTGGATGAGTGCTACAGCTGTAATTTCCAGTGTCTGCTATTTTTGCAGATGTGATGTGCAGAACCACAGTCACATTGGGCTGAAAGGAAGTCATGTTGATGAGACACTTCTGAAAGACAAACACCAACAATAATGTGATCACATCCTTTCTTAGCAGTGACTTCCAGGGCTTAGCATTTTGCTAATTTTTTTTTCTGCAGTAACTTTGGTGAAATTTACATTTTACAGACTTTTCATACTCTAATCACAACAGATACAGAAAGCCTATCTCGTGACTCCACATTGAGCTGAAATGTTTTATCATGCATATGATATTCCTAAAGTCCTCATACAGTGTGGTTCATTAAGCAGTTGTGATGAACTGTTTGTTTACATGTGTAATGTTTGTCTTAAATGATGGTTCATTTTAAATGGGTAAACCAGCTGAATAGCATTCCTTTTAAAGAGTAGATATTATTTTTAAATTCAGATTGCATAAACAATTGGACTTATGGCAGGTTCCAGTTTCAGACAACAAACTAAAGCTTCAGATGATATTAAATCTTTAATTGGTCAAGGAAAACCAGCAGCAACAACTAAAACAACAGAAAGCAATAAGGAAGGAGTATAGAAAAGTTTAGCAGAAGATCCAGTGGTCAGTGAAAGAGAAAGATGAGCTTAAATGCTGAGGTGGAAATGACAAAGGAACTCAAAGAGATAGTCACAGCTGGGGACTATCTCTTTATTGTTGGAAGAAAATGTGGAAATGATGAAAAGCTGGGGAGGGGAACAGGAAGGAAAGTACTAGCCAATGGAAAGTACTTTCCATTGGAATTAGAAAAAGTATCATAAATGGTGTTTTTGACATTTATCATATTCAATTAGAAGATGAAGATTTATTGGAAAATGATTAAATGAAATGAATAAGTACAGAATATTTATTTATTGATTGATTTACAAGAAGATCTCAATTTAGATTGCAGGTACATAATTAATGTTTATTTTATAAAATATATACATTACGTTGTAAGTGCTAGACTTACAAAAAGACACAAAGAAAGAACTGAAGACTAAATAGACTGGAACAAACACACAGCAGAACCACATTTTCTTTAAATGAAGGTGGATATGGGAAATTAGAAGCAGGTGTGACTGATTACTACTGCATGACTCATAAAACTGGAGTACAGAAAGAACTGAACAGGTCACTAAAGACCTGACTGAACCAAAAACCAAAGACTAATACTAGAATAAGAAAACAGGATGACAAAGGAACCCTAAGAACTAATCACAACTGGGAAGGGAGTAAGCACAAGCAAATGAGGAAATGATGAAAAGCAATCACAAGACAGAACTAAGAAGTTAACTCTGAATACAGAGAGTACAGAACTCTTGTAGTAAAAACGTAACATCCTGAAATAATCCATTAATAACCGAATGACAAGCAAAAACAGAAAGACCCATGACAGAAAATGAAATAGTTCAAATGTATTAAACATTCTAATATACTGGTAGCACATCATTCATGCCCTAAATGTTTGGATTTGACATCACAAATTAGTATATTTTTGTTTTCATTTTACTTTTCAAAGGAATTAAATGGATACATTTAATGAGCTGTAAAATAACTAGATGTTTCATCTTTCATAATCTTATAGTTTTCATGTTTCTAGTTGGGTTTAGAACTAAAGCATGTCAGAGGCCATTTTAAATCTGTTTTTCAACAAAAAAGTTTTATTTAAGTTAAATTAGTTACAAAACAAACATTTCTGTGAAATCTGAAAAGTATTTTTGACCTACCTTACTTTCACCTTCTTTCCACATCTGTGCAAAATGCATGGAGGATAAAAATGTGAATTTACAACTCAAGTTGAAATCTACTCCCACTCGATGTTTAAAACCATTTCCAGGTGAAATGCTCACATCAGCTCCATGAGCAGCTCCTATGGAACCAAGCATGCAGCTGCTTAATATCATAACATTTGTACGCAGTCTTTTTCATAAGTCTGGATGGGTCTAGCTTTTAATTCCTCTTTTAGGAATAACATATGGAATTGTATTATCAAATCAGTCAAATTTCATTGACAGATTCACATTCATTATATACATCCCCACTAAATCACAATGCAGTTAAATCAGTTTATAATCCCAAAGTTTTCAGAAACATTAGGGAAAGTATGTTTATGGTACCTCTCGCAAATCTAAAGATCTGAGACCATTGAGGCTCCTCTGACATGAAGAAAAAGAAAATGCTAAAATTGAATGAACTTCATTGCTTACTATATAATATAAAATACAAATTAATCTTTTCATTGATTCAAAATTCATAAAAGTCTCACCATAAGCTGGAATCAAGGAAATTAAACTTATCACCAGCACGAACATGTTCCTACTTCGCTCTGTGTATCAGGACTTCCTGTTATGCCTTGATTCACGTTTCTTCATCAAATACGGTTTCCTCTGTTCCGCACCGCCCTGGAGACAAAAAAGCCACACAACTCTTATCTACGTTGCAACAACTGACATATGTTGTGAATTGGTGCAATATAGATAAGCTGACTTGAATTGGGTCACATCCCAGACTCTGTCTTTGACAGACTTTCTAATAACCAGACAGGGATTTCAAGAGGAGATCCGTTTGGATCTCCTCTTGAAATGGATTAGCAGTGTTTGTCAACAGCTGATAGTATCATCCAGGACATTATTGTGGAATATTTTCCTTCTGGGCCTAGTTCAATTTCCAGGCCAAGCAACTATTAGTAGCTACCTAGCTGGCTCTTCTAAGTAACTAGTAGCTACTAAGAGTAACAACTAAGATTTTGTGGAAATGGAGCTGTTAGCATGTCATGACAGCCTTTGGTCACAGGCTTCTTCAGACTCTTTACAAGGCTGACTGTGGAGGTCCTACCAGCCCACTGCATAATCATATACAACAACTCTTCGAAAATAATTCAATATGGATTATGATGACATTTAATTTCTTTTTGGGATGAAATATTTTTGAATAGAAGTGATTTTTTTATCCATGAAAATATATCCGATTGGGAATCATATATACTTATCTAAATAATTGTTCTGATAATGAAATTAATTTAATATTTTAAGTTTTACGGTATACAAAAGCACATTACTTTTCTTTTGCGGTTATTCTATTTCAAATAAATATACAAGAACAATGCATTAATATAGAAAAATATAGATAATATATAAAATAATATATTATAGAAAAATTTTCCTAATCGATCAGTGGAAAAACAAGTTTCAAACTAATACAAGTGTTTGTGCTTACTGTTTGCTCTCACACATACAGGTACGCAAAATGTATACAGATGTTATTCAAGTACATTTACGTTCGGTTTTTCTCTCAAGACCGACATTTCTAACTGTATCTACGCAAACAGCGTTAGATGATTGGAGCAGCTTTGTAGTTGGTTAGCCAAACATGCACAGTAAGAGAGATGATCAGGGAAACGAGTCGAAGAAAACCATCATAATTCATTTCAAACAGGAAGTGTAAGAACACACAGTCAGTGAAGGTATGTAAGACTTGTTGTTTTTTTACTCTGGTTAAATGTATAGGTAGGAGTGAGTTCGTTGTGTTTCCGTATGATGAGGTATATAAGCAGAAATTCAGCGGTAGCTAGTGCACTAGCTAGCTAACATGTTAGCATTTGGTAGTTTATGACAAGCTACGTTTCACTGCTTCCTCAGAAGCTATTGAAAGCTTTCAGATTGATAATATAGTTATCCAGCTAAGAAGTACACAGTATTTTTTAATATAGTTCCTGTCTTTCCTTGCGGAACCGTGAGTCATTTTTGCCGCTAGATTTTCTCCAGACTGCGACTTTAAATTTGTTTCAATGAACCCGAACATCTTCAGGCCAAGCGCAGAAACTGTTGTGGCCTAAAGCCCAACTTCCTGTGCTGTTTTCTTTCTTTGTAGCTTGGCGTGTAACAACACAATAAATACGGATTTTAATGAAAAAACAAGCAGCGAATGTTAAGAGCAGGCCTACAGTAGTAGCCAGGCTGAACCTTAATGTTTAGGTGTTCAGCTAACATTAGCTCATCGCACAAATACTAGTACATGCTGATGCGAAAAGTTTGGCTTTGGTGTGGCCGCTGGTTCTCTGATTAAGTCGTGTTATGAAGCGAGTAGAATGTAATGAAGTCCAGTTGTTCATTGGAGTGCGGGTGGTAAACCAAGGCCATGTTGATGTTCAGTATTTCCCCAGAACACCAAGAGCTCTGATCACCAATGGATCAGAGCGGAGCTGCACGAATACATTAGTTTGCTGTATATAAGGTGTAATCAAGTAGTACGCCATTGCTGTTCACATGTTTAAGTTTTTCTGCCAGTGATTTCCAAGACAAAAGTGAATGTAAGGGCTGATGAGAGGTGTTTTGCTCTCTGCTGATGAGATTTCTCCTGTGGTGCTCGAACTGTTCAATCTTCTGCTCAGTAATGTGGGTCAGGCTCTGAGCCAGTGGCATGCTGTGGAAAAAATACTTTTGCTTTTGAGGTTTGTGCTCTCATGTAGGCGTAAGATTAACTGAATGCAAACTACACATAAAACTGCCACTGCTTGGCTAGATGTTGACAGCTCAGTGGAGGCCATGACGCAAAACACAGCAGATAACAAGGTAGTGCACAGTGGGAAGATTCACCACCTTTTAAAGGCGATTTAAAAGATACAAAATACATTTAATGTCTTGGTCTGTTTACCTGCTCATCTTTTAAACAGGAATTAGTTAAGCTGTATATTTTTTAGATTCTGAATGTCTCTTTTGCACAATTTCATATTAGTTTTCTTTTGCAAAAAGATTACTGATTGCCATAATTTAGGAACTTGGACTGTGTTGAAGATTGTGCAATAGGCCTGATGCACAAACATCTGCTGTTTTATTTGTTATTTAGGCCACATTCATATGAGATCTCCTAATTGAAATATTGTTTGTTTTTTTGTTCTGGGGGCTTCATGTTGTGGGAGTAAACGTGTCTAACCCTTCCTTACCACTAGCTATAGAACACCATTGATCATCTGTTTTCCTGTGAGTTGCTCAATCTGACAGGCTGCTGTGGGAGGGCAGAAACAACAGCAGAGCCTGACCTGCTTTGAAGGGTATAATCAAAGGCTTAGATCTAACTTTTGCCAAGCAGAATGTTTTTTTTTAATTTTTATTTATTTATTGTTTTACATTTTATCATGAAATCTGCTTTTTGTTAACTTTCAAGCAACCTAATTTCCCACATTATTAAATTCAGCCGATTATGGTTCCCTCATTCGCAGCGAGTTGAGATTCTCAGCAAAGAGCTGATACAGCTGCACAGTTGAGGCTTTTTAAAATTTTCTTACAAAGTAGTTATTTTCGACGCACAGAATTCCCTAAAAACTAAACTGCCGTAGTAGCTGCCGTTGTGCTCAGATTTTTGTCTGATCTATTAATTACCCATACCAATACCTGTTGATGATCTGACAAAACATATATTTTATGTTATTTAATAATTTTTTATTTAGCATTTTGAGAAATGACATCAAGAATAAGGGAGCTTATTGTTTCTGTTGTTACCGTTACTGGGTCACGTTATTCTGTTTTTTTCCTGTTAATAACATCAGCATTGATAGACTCAACTTCTGTCTCAGACATTTCCTCTTCCTCTTCAGACTTTTGTTTCTCCTTTGCCCTTTCATTAGGCTGGGTTGATTATTCTTTCCCGTTACGAATTTGTTTGCAGTTTTTGCTTCACTAAGCTTACAGTGGTTAAAGAGTCATCCACCTCAAAAAGTCGTTCCATGTTAACTCAGTGTCAACGCAGGTCAAAAACATCAAAAAAGTATTTACTTTATTTAATCCACAGAGCAGCTTCCTGCTCAATGACCACCATAATATAAAGGACACAAATAGTAACTATAAATGCTTGTTTGTAATTCTACATCTGATCTTCAATATTGATTTTATATTTTTTTAGGTTTGGCCTGCCTGTTCCAATTTCAGCAGATTTAGATTTAAGTGAAAATATATATTAATCCCAATGCAAAAGGAAATATTATGTTGTTTTTCTGTTTTGTACATTTATCTTTACTTGGACTTTTTTTTTTTAAATAATAAAGGTTCACTTTAAGACTTTTTCACAAAGTCAGTCAATGAGACAAAGCAAATGATATCACTGCTTTTCAGGCATCTTTCCAACAGAGTCACAGCCTGATGTTATTCATTGTAGATAATATAGAGAAGATGAAAAAATGTGGATAAAAGTAGGAACAGTTCAAAGACTGTGTGCAGCAGAAACAGGAAGCTTTCATATGTAGTTACATATAATGTAGTCTCTGTAACACAGAGTTTATGCATTTAATGAAACAAATAATTGCTTTAATTCATGCCATGTAGCATAAGTCAGTGCAGTTGATTGTGACACAGAACATATATTAACAGTGGCAGGGTAAAAACACAGGCCTCAACTGGGAGCATTATGTTATTTCTGGGTGTCTTTCAAAACACACAAATAATCAACTTTGTTGCATGGGCTGATCATTTTAATGAAGCCACAGATCAAACATTGACTACTTGAATATTAAAATCCATGCCATTATGGCTTTACATGAGAACTAAATAATCTGTTTCTCTATGTTTTCTCAGGTTTCCCAGTGTACAGCATTTCTGGAGCCGTGGACCAGAACCTTATGTGGTGCTATAGACCAAGTAGCGGTGCTGGTACCGGTACTGAAGGCTTGCTCGGTTCCTGAAACGTATGGCAGGAAGTCAGATAGCAGATCTAGGTCTTGTCCTAGCTGAAGGTCAGAGGTGAAACCTCTGAACTCCTTTACTGAGTGTTGTCATGCTGGATTGACCTGTCTAAGCCTTAGACAAGGGCACCCTTCTGATTTTATAAAGTGTCCCAGCATTTGGACATCAGTCCTTGCACATCAGTCCTCCATCTTCCTTTAACATTTCTGGCCCCTTCAAGGGGGACAGAAAGTCACTCCTAATTGTGCCTCTTCACCCTGTACTCTTCAAATTTGATGCACTTTCAGTCAAATACTCTTTTTACCATCTCTGTCTTAAATAATTTTAAAGTCATTAAATTTTAGATCCCGTTCTTTAACTCCAATCCATTTCTCCATTTTTAAAATTTTTTTTTTAGTCATCTTGTATCCATACCATTGTCGCACAAGATTCCACATTTTAATTCAACTCACCCTTTACAGCCAAAGTGTGTGCCTCTGTATTTGATCACTGCAAGACCTGGAAATCAAGCCACTAGGCAGCAGTTTTGTTTTTGCAGTTTGTGCATGGAATCAGCCTAATCGTGGAGAGGCCAGGCTACCACAAACTGATGGACTTTGACAAGCGTGGAGTTGGTGGAGGAGGGGGTGGAGGGAAAGGGGAGGCTGAAGATGGGAAGAGGATGTCTGGGAAGGCAGGGGGAAGATCAGGACACAGTGGCCGAGTTGCTGGCTCTGGCTCAGGAGTTCTGATGGTTGGGCCAAACTTCCGGGTCGGAAAGAAGATCGGGTGTGGGAACTTTGGAGAACTACGACTTGGAAAGAACTTGTACACCAATGAATATGTGGCCATCAAACTGGTAAAAATCCTCTTCAGGCTGTGTTTTTATATAGTTAAATACAATACATTACAGTTGTGCATTTGTTGCTTCCTCTTGGTCAGGACTCTTTTGAAAAAGAAGTTTTTAATCTCAATGGATTTTTTTTTATCCTGGTAAAATAAATATTAAATAAAAAATAAAATATTTAGAGCATTGGTCAATAGTCCTCTGATATTAAAGACGTAAAGTAATTTCCTTACAAATTAGAACCCCAGTGCGGCATGTTTATATAGTTTAACTCTCCCAAGATTTATTTTTCTGTTAGCTGAAAATTGCTTGCCACTTTGATGTCCTGATTGATTTGGTTGAGTCAAGTATTTTCTTCACATACTTGAAGAAAAATAAAAAAAAAACTATTGAATTTTTAAAATAAATTCATAATCACCTATCAGTCAGTGTGACTGGACTCCTTGGAGGGAGTATGTGTTAATTTATTCTGGAAAAGAGATACAAACTCATGAAGCTCCTGTAACCTGACTACATAAAGGTGCACACCCTGAGATAAATACATAGTTGAAACAACTTTTCATTCAGTTTCAACGTCCAGTCTTCATTTGGAGTATCCCAGCATTTTCGGCTTTGTATTGTTAGCCCCCTTTCACCAAAATTCTCCAAATGCCACGTTGGCTGTGGACATCTCTTGTCCACAGCCAACTTCAGGTGAACCCTTAGATTTTCTGTCAGATTTAGTTCTGCTCGCCGACTAGGCCATAACAATTTTCTTCTGGCAAAGCCATTCTTTTCTATTCTTATGCATCCTTGGGCCTGGTGATGCTAAAAAAGAAAAGTTATCTTCATAATAAACTTCCAGCAGACATTTTGGACCAAAAGCTGGTGGTATTTATTTATAGCTGTTCATGATTTCATCCAACTTTACAAAGTGTCTTGTTCCTTCTAAACTGTTACGATTAAATGGTTCTGTTTTTCCTCCGACTCGTTTAGCTGTTTGCATGTACACTGCTCAAAAATATAAAGGGAACACTCAAATAACACATCCTAGATCTGAATGAATGAAATAAATATGAAAATAATTTCCACCTGTTGTCTATTCCATTTGCACAACAGCAGGTGATATTGATTGTCAATCAGTGTTGCTTCCTAAGTGGACAGTTTGATTTCACAGAAGTTTGATTTACTTGGAGTTATATTGTGTTGTTTGAGTGTTCCCTTTCTTTTTTTAAGCAGTATATATACATACACACGTAAAGTTCACAGGGGAACTTCCTCTTTAGAGCATAGCTTATGTAGAAGCAGAAAGGAAAGGGATCCTGTTGTCAGGGGCCCTCTGTGTTACAGCACTGGTCTTTCTCTGTTTTTCCTAAGTAATGCTGTCACTTGTTTGGCTTTAATAAATTGGACTCAAGAAAAAGAGTCCGTGGCAACAAAACAGAAAACTAACCTCAGAGCATGTTGCTGCCAGTGCACTATTTGTCTGTGGTTGTGGTATTTTTTGTTTATGTGAATTTCAGTTCGTGTTTGGTTTTCTTGCCAAAAATTTAAAAGAATCAAACATTTTAACCCAATAAAACAAAATTGTGAAAAGAGCTGATCCATATTTAAACAAATACAATGCTGAGTTTAGTTGAAGATGGACTGAATCACATCTGTGATTTTCTCACAATGGTTTGGGTTTAAACTGGACATGTTTCAGTGCTGTTCATGAAGATTCCTTAAAAATGATTTAGATTCTGATTTGGTTCTTCTTTTACAGGAACCCATCAAGTCCCGAGCACCACAATTGCATCTAGAATATCGCTTTTACAAACAACTGGGAAGTTCAGGTAAGTGTGACAACACTTCATAGGTGTGTCTTTTTTTTTACTTTTTAAGGATGATTATACACCACTCACAAAATGTGTATGTTTGACTTTTGGGTGAAAGTTATGTAAAATGTCAAAAATTCACTTTTCAAAGATATATAATATCTTTGCAAAGATATAATTGCAGGAATTTAAACTCCTGCCTTTAAATTTCCGGGAGTTGAGCAGCTCAAGGACGTCCTGTGACTGTTCCAGTCTCTGTTGTAACCAGCTGATTACGCTCTGAGCTCAGCAGTCAGTTTGATCTGAGAGCATCATGTTTGAAACCTCAGTGCAGAGGTGTGGTTCTTCAGTTGTTGATGTCGACTTGAATGATGAAGAGGACTCTTCAAACACCATTTCTGATAAAATCAGCAAATGTATTGACAATTGACTAATGAAACTACTGTTGTGAATTTTGCCTTTGAGCTCCTTGTTAGAGAAGAGCAAGTTGTGCAAGAAGAACTGAAACATTGAACATGTGCATTCAAACGTTCAGAGAAGATCATGTCAAGTTCACCCGGAAAGGTTTGGCTCATCCTGAAGTTTCACCCAAAATCCAAATTTCTCTCATTTTTGTTGGGGTTTGTGTATATTTAAGGATTGAGCACACATAATATCGAATGTCTCTTATTTAACTGCCGAAGAGGCGTGGACCTGAGAAGGTCTGCATCGAGCATTCTACAAATTCAGGGACAAACTGTTCACATGTTGGCTTATGCTGTGTTCCACAATGAGATGATGATCAATATCTCATACTTTGCTTATCAGAACTCTTAATTTTATGGAAACTAGATATGTTCAGTTTTAATTCTCTACAAATAAGCCTATTATTATTTTAGTTACTTTACAAAAACAGGTCAGGCCAATCATACAAACAGATTCCACGTTGGTTACATTAGTGGGTTTGTTTAGGAACTATTTACCAGAGCATGGAGTCACTGACTTGCAGCATTCACTCCTCCTGGACGAACATGCAACGCTGGTATAGTCGCTTGCATTGTGTAGTTGATTTTGCAGCAATCCCTGAGCAAGCATGTAGCAGACAAAACATGTAGAAATCTCCACTTTAACTGGAAGAAACCTCCAGCAGAACCAGAACCAGGCTCGGTGTAAGCGGCCATCTGCCACGATCGACTGTGGGTTTGAGAAGAGAGCAGATACAGAAAACATATTGTCTTATTAAATCAAACCATTAACTATTCTTGTTAGTCACCAAAGTATTGCTGGCCATCAGAGGGAGCCCTAACAAACCTTAACAAGCTTTTGCAAGTGTTTAATTTTGGGAGATCAGCCGATATTTAGATCTGAAGCTGATCAGATCTACCGATCTTGTCTCCCTTGGCAAAGGTATAGAAATCAACCACCATCCTCTTCTGCTCTGCTATGAGAGACCCGCCCACCAGGTCATGTTTGCAGTTAACAATAGTCACCACACTGTTGCCAACTCAGAAACTTTCTTGCTATGTTTTGCAACATTTTTTAAAAAATGGTATCAGCCAAAATCATAATTGGCAGGTCAGGCTTTTAAAGGTCAGTAATCGCGATCGGCCAGAAAACTGAAATCTGCCAAGTTTAAAAGCAGAGTATGTAACTATTTAAGATTCTAATTATTATGGTTCACTCTTGATATGCGGCCTCAAAACAGTTAGTTTTTTCCACTACTTTTTTGTTTGATACTTCTGACCTGATAGAGGTGATGAAGTAAAAATCTTCAGATTTTTCTCATTTCTTCTTATTTTTGTAAAATTAAACTTTCAAAGTCATTGAAATGTAAGCCACAATTTCAGATTTCAATATTGTTGTTAATGACTCAGATAATAAGAGCTGGTGATTGCCTTGTAGATAAAATCTTAGTAAAAACCATACTTTTTTTTAACCTAGCCATTGTCTTCCTATGCAGTTCTGCACAATTCTAATCTCTCTTCATATTGGATTTCTCCCATTTGCTTGGATTGCCTTCAGGTTTTCTAACAGGCCAATCATTGAACATAAGAAGTTGTGAATGGTGATGTTTTGTAATTGTAGTCTGCCTGTAGTTTTAGCAATGGAAGCAGCAAAAAGAAAGGAAACTGTTCAGTTTGTGTTGGTCAGGCTTCTAACTATTGAATTAACACTGAACTAATAACACGGATGGTTATTAAGCGCACAGGTAATTTCTAGTAAGCTTCATAATGTCGAACTGGCATATTGCATAGGTTATTGATTGGGTAAAATTGCAAACTTCCACACAGTCCACACTCCAGGAAGAAATCGTTTCTCAACAGTTGAGAGCCCAGAGTCTCTGGACGAACATATGGCTGGTATTTACCAGGCTAACCTTTTTCAGTCTTCTAATGAGATTCAGTGTGGAGCACTGAAAGGCTGTTTTTTTTTTTTTTTTTTTTTTTTTTTTAAAGCCAATGATGGTTTTGTTGTCCTGTTTTCCTCTGCTGGTCCTCCAGAGGGCGTACCTCAGGTGTTTTACTTTGGACCATGTGGGAAATACAATGCCATGGTTCTGGAGCTGCTAGGACCCAGCCTAGAAGACCTGTTTGACCTCTGCGACAGGACTTTCTCTCTAAAAACTGTACTCATGATAGCCATACAACTGGTAAGACATTTAGCTCTTTAAGTCTCAGGCCTCAGAAACAGCTTGTGTCTGATTTTTGTAAGTGGTGCTGATGTCGTCATCTCCCTCAGATAACCCGAATGGAGTTTGTCCACACCAGGAGCCTCATCTATCGAGACGTGAAACCTGAGAACTTCCTGGTGGGCCGACCCGGCTCCAAACGGCAACACACCATTCACATCATAGACTTTGGCCTTGCAAAAGAATACATAGACCCTGAGACAAAGAAACATATCCCATACAGAGAACACAAGAGTTTGACTGGAACTGCCAGATACATGAGCATCAATACACATTTAGGGAAAGGTGAGTGTTTCTATGACTGCTTTTGTGTGCACTCATGGGATGTGGTGACCAAAACATGTGCTTATGGTTTGGCACATAAGGCAAAACATAATATGTGTTGCTTATTGATCATTCACTGCAAACTGATTAATCAATGTTGCAAACTAATAATTTTGTCTCAATTCCTGAAGACCAGACTCAAAACAGAGTATTTTTTTTAACCTGAGGCTGTAGTTGACCTTCTGAAGTTCTGCAGCAGGAGGCTTGCTACCTTCACCATCCATTGACATTTTTTCCATCAGTCCAGCTAAACAGAGCTAGTTTAGAGCCACAAATATCATATGACTTATTAAAAAAGGACAACTAGTGATCTCCTAGGAAATGCATCGTCTTTTTAAAAAAACCACCATTTTATGGATGGACTTTTCTCTGGGTTGTGTTTTGTTTGGTTGTTTTGGTGAAAGAAATCTTAAAAAAAGACAACACAATCAAATAAGAAAAATAGATGGAAGTATTACTGATATGTCAATAATATAGCACTATAATATAACACTGTCAGTGCAGATCAGTTGAGGACATTCAATGAATGTATTCTTTATAAAGACGAAAGCCCTTCATTTGTTATGTAAGATCTTAGAAGCACTAGTTCATTCTGTTAGTTCTTAGGAAGGTTCAAAAAGCCACCTCTTTTTCATTCTTCATAAAAATTGGGAAATTGGTTGTAAATACATGTTCATATTGTTTCTTAATATTCTATTTTATCTCTCTAAAGTTAATTTATTTTTACTTTGTGTGTACGCTGAGAGCACTTGAAAACTGAAGTTTGTTCACACAATCCTGAGCAAACTTAAGCTGCTTTTGATTCTAATAATGCTAGAATTTTCAGATGTTTGTAAAAACCCTGTCAGTGTTTTATGAAGCAAACTCTGTTAGTCAGGCTTTAATCTTCAGCTTTATGTCCTTGCTCAGGTTTATTTCTCTCATGTTAACTTTGACTTTGTAGAGCAAAGCAGAAGAGATGACCTGGAAGCTTTAGGCCATATGTTCATGTATTTTCTGCGGGGCAGTCTGCCATGGCAAGGACTAAAAGTAAGAAAAAAGCAATTAGTGCTCATCTTATTCTTAAGTTAAAACATTTGCCCTTAATCCATGGCAAGGTTCCATGTGGAACTTTCCTCTGAATTACTTCCATTCCTCTCTGCCTTAGGCTGACACTCTGAAGGAACGCTATCAGAAAATAGGAGACACGAAGCGAGACACACCGATAGAGGTGCTCTGTGAGAATTTCCCAGGTTTGTAATCATAAGTCTATTTGTTGCCAAAAAACAGTTTTTGTTCACTGCTTACTGTGATAAAGTATCAGATTCCACTGTCTGACTGTATGTGTACGCATTGCTATTGTATGAAAACAACAGAAGAGATGGCCACATACCTGCGATATGTGCGGCGGCTGGACTTTTTCGAGAAGCCAGACTACGATTATCTGAGGAAACTCTTCACAGACCTCTTCGACAGGAGCGGATACATCTTCGATTATCAGTATGACTGGACCGGAAAGCCACTGGTTAGTGATAAGTGTGGGTTCTGTGCTCTTTTCATGCAGCAGGTTACTCTGAGATCTTCTTGTAGGTTTTCTGTTCAATCATTGCTGAGTTCAGCACAGTATGGAGGCTGTGTTGTGTTTATCTGATTGGGTTCAGGTAGACAGAGATTGAAGTCATTCAGCAGCAAGCACTCACACTGTGAGCCACTGTGGAGGTGTCTGAAGGTTCAGCAGTTTGGGGTGAGGGACGTGATTTTTGAAATCTGTCTCCGACTCAGAAATCTTTTAATAAAGGGCTGGGTGATGCGTCAAATTATCGATTAATCAAATTTTTGGTTTTTGAAGGAGTTATTGGTGGAATATCAGGATTTTTTCCACCAATGCGCTCCCTGGGTTTCCATAGTTCAAAGTGAACACTTTGTAAAAACAATGTGTGTTTTACAACTTCTATTATTTGGACTTTGAATTCAGGTCAACTCTATGATGAAGTATGAAGACCAAGTTTTTTTAAATTATATTTCTTTTGATATTTTAAGTCATCTGACAGTAATGAAGTCAGAAAAAAAAAGTATTTATAATGAGATCTCCAACGCACAAAAATATAAATAAAAGAGGAATGTAGAGCATCTTGAGAAGTTATACTTCAGTATAAGTTTTGCAAATAAGAAAATATTTCATCCTGTTACACACCAGCATAAAATTATTATGAGAAGCAGGACACTGAACTGAGCCGGTCATGTCAGATTGAAGATTTTGTCTCATTGAAATGACATTTTCCTTGTAATTCTTTTTATGAAAGTAGTTTGTTTCTTATTCATAAACATAATAGAACTCAAAGGCACATACAAAATCAAGAGAATAAGATACCCAGAGCATACAGGAGAGTGACAGTGATGTTTTGCCAATGATCCATAAAGAAGATGCAAACCTCATGCCCCTCATATGGCTATAGAGAGACAACACAAATGTTGAAGAACAATTTGCATTGTTGCAATATCTTAAACCTAAATGATCAATCATGTTGCCACATTAATAGAATGGAATTTATTGTTTGTCACTGTACATATGAACAATGAGATTAAATGTATTGCACTACTTGGACAGCAAAAAAGAAAGATCAAAAATAATAAAAATAAATAAATACATAAAAAGTAGGGGTGGAATCATCTCTCAGAAACCTTCATCCTTCCAGCCTATTTTAATATTATTACCCCTCAAGAAAATTACAGAATATACTGCAGATCTTCCAAAATTTGTCTTATTTGTCTTTGTCATATAACTTATCCTCTCCAGGGCCAAAAATAAACATTTTGCTATGGTAACATTTGTTTCAGTTTAACAGACATGGACTTATACACCGTCTAGCTTCCAGACAACAGATGTTCTATAACGATCTTATGCTTTTAGGCGGATTGAATTGCCCTGAAAAGGTATGGTTTCAACATATGTTTGGGTTACACAGACAAAAACAAATAGAGACCCGTTCCAGCAACTCCAAAATGATGACTCAACAAAGTAAGAAAAGTTGGAAAACAAGAAAAAAACTTAAAAGAAAAAAAAAATTATTCAGCTCCATCGCAGTCTGTCAGGAATATGAACGTGTGAGGTACAATGCACCGACTGGTAAGCAGTGGGATGACAGGGCTACCAGGTAGGAGCAATGCTGCCACTACCTGTGACCTCATATATTGGAGGAACAACCCACTACTCTTTCCTTGTAATATTAAGATGTTTTTTCTGTTAAAATCTTTATTCTGATAATGTGGTGACTGTATTCTTGTAATAAAACAAAAGTTCTTGTCCTGGCCTCAGTAGTGTGTCGTACAACTCACAGAAGTGATAGTTGAAATAAAATCCCCTTTTTGAAAATTGTTTTTCTCATATATAATTATTTTTTTTAGAAAAGAAGGCAAGAAAAACTTTGATTAAATCTGCACTGGCAAGAATAAATCAGAGATTTTTTATTTGTAAGCCATATCACTCAGCCCTACATAAACTTGACTCATCCTCATCAGTCTGATAAACATGTTGCAGCACTATTTGATTCAACAATCAGCTTTTGGAATCTTCTTCTTTGCCTTTGGAAGTAGTTCTGTTTTCCTGGAAAGCTTCTTAGAGCTGGATCGGTCCAAACTTTTGGCAGTGGGTAAAATCAGAATAAACAATATTCTCCGTTAGTTAGTGCTAGCTAACAGAAAATACCTGTAGTGATATGCAGGCATGTGTTAGTTTTTTTTTAAGGTTTCTATTTGGCTTTAGTGACCTTTATATGAGGTCAGACAGGAGAGTGGGTAATGAGAGAGGGGAGAGCATGTGGGACTCAAATCTGTGATAGCAGCTTTACCCCTGTAACACTGCAGCCCCTCTCTGTTTACACAAAAATAGCCATGTTGTCAGCTGAGTTTGCACAGTAGTAAAGTGATTTTCCCTCCTGCTCTCTGTTTTTAGCCGACTCCTATTGGTCCTGTGGCGACTGAAACTCCACTTCAGACAAGCAACCGGGAGAAAGCACCTCAAACCAAAAACCAGGTACATGCTCAGGAGAACAAATACAGAACTGGGTAGGGGTTGTGCACAGAAGGGCTGAAAAGGTTAATCAGATTAATTGATTATAAAATAATCATCAACTAATTTAGCAATCAATTATTAATTAACTGGAGCATACAGACTCAAAATTAGGCCATTTACTTAAAAAAACAACATATTCAGAGCAATAATCAAGCCAAAACTGTACAAAGAATATATGCTGCATAAAATCTGCGTAATTGATATGTCACTCATCGGCTTGCTCAAAGCCAATGAGTAGCCTGGCTTTGAGAATCAGTCTGGGCAGCGACTGCAAGTAGCTTGATGGCCCCATTAAGAACCCCCCGTTTTTAAACGCTGCATTTTTTTCCAGCAGCACTATTTGTAAAGCTAGTCCAAGACAAACAAATTGAGTCAATTTTATTTTATTTATCTGTGCGTCATTTAGTTCATTTAATTGATTAGCTTCATAATTAAGTTGGTACTTTTTTCTTTTTTTGTGTTGTATTGTCATTATGTTTGTACTCGATAACTAAAAGAATCCTTATTGATAGCCCGAGTTTATGGTTTAACATCATTTATCTTAAACCATAAAAAAGCGATTTTCTCTGTCATACTACACAAGCCACACTGCACTGCTCATCTGTCTCATTTTGCTTATCAGTCAGCTTCAGAGTTTCTTTGACATAGTGCTTGAAAAGGCTTTTTGTTCTTTTCTCATTTCTCCTTCTGGCTTCCATTGTTATTTTTTAGCAAGAATAACTTGCTTAACTTTCATCAGTGAGATTTTTCTAGATGCAGAACCAAGGTTCAGTGGAACCTAAGAAAAATTTTATTTTATTTTTATAATCATCTTAATCCATAGTAACTACAGTAAGTTAGACAGTTAGTAGTGCCAAATTTGTTCAATCTACCTAGTGGCATCAGCAAAAAAAAAGAAAAAAAACAATGTTGAGCTAGTGTGGGTAGTACAACAGTCTGGTCAGCAAGTTAGAGGATTTCTCTGTTGTATGTTTTTTTTTGAAACTATAATGTACCTAGCGCTGGTTTGGAAAGCATGCAGTACTACGAGTTACTCCCACGATCACTGGTTCTGGTTGCTGGTGTGCCAAAGGAAGTTTCAGTTCATTGTCTGAGCAACCTATCATGTGCAGGCTTTCCCCCAGAAAACTTGCTAAGCCCAGTGGTCCACCGTGTGTTTGTATTAAAGGATACACGTAGACAGGAAAAGTAAAAATTAGTGATGGGTAAATGAGCCGTCATGAAGCATTTAGACCAGAGGTCGGCAACCCAGCATGTTGAAAGAGCCATATTGGACCCAAAAAACGAAAAACAAATCTGTTTGGAGCCGCAAGAAAGTAAAAGCCGTATAAAAGGCTTTTATAGAAGGCAAAACAGGCTCTAGGTGTTTATATTAGCGTATATCAAAATGACTAAGTGTATACATAATTAGTATTCATGATTAAATGTTTATTTTCCCTGCAGGAATGACGCATCACGTGACTCTTCAGTTGTACGATGGTGCTTTAAGTTTACCTTCTGTTACAATATGAACGCATTTACAAAATTAAAGAAACGTAATAAAGAAATCAGATATTTGATATCATTTTTATTATGAAGAGCGACAGGGAAAGTGTCATTTTTTTCCCTTTGTGGAACATGGAAAATCTGCCCCGAAATGCAGTTTGCTTAACGACGATCGCTCTTCGTAAATAATCACCGTTAAGTGTGTGATCACAAAAACAACAAACGGAGTGTAATAAAACGGCAGCCTTTTGAAAACGTAAAGTATATAAAATTAAGAGTTTAAGTTCAATTTCTGTGCAAATGCCAAGCAAGTCAGTGCAACAGTAACACAAAGCAGCCATGAGCAACCCGACCTGAGCAAACGACACAAAACAATATCGCTAAGTGTCATTCTAAATGTATACTGATGAAAATTACTATATCGCTTATTTATGTATGTTTTCAGTTTTTTATTTTTTTCCAAGTTTCGGCTTTCATTGAGGTGCGCTCCGGAAAGTACGGTCCTCTTTTAGTTATTTGACAACTTGTTGCTGGGAGAGCGAACATTCAGGCAATTCTTCCACACTGGCAACGAATGCAGATGATTCGGTCCAAGAACTGTAGAATTGAATGTTTCTTCTACACATTTTTATGGCACTGGAAAACGCTAAGAATGATTGTGTCATGTTTGTCCTCCTACAGAAACCATAATAAAACAAAAAATATATTTCCCAGCCCCATCTTTTCCCATTTTCAAACATTTTTGATGAAGCTCCAAAGAGCCACTAGGGCGGCACTAAGAGCCGCGGGTTGCTGACCCCTGATTTAGACCCATAGCAAAACTGTATTGATACTGTGTCACTGAATACTGACACCTGCTGGACATTAAAAATCCCTACAGGCAAGGTAGTTGAGAGACTGATTTGATTATCTAGTCCAGGGGAGCCCAAACTTTTTGAGACCATGATCTATTTTTTCTCTCACCAGCCAGCTGAGATCTACCTCATGACACAAAGACATAAAAATTGTAAATGAAACCCTATTGACTCATTTTCTATACGAATATCCATCAGTTATATCAGAAATGATAAAGTGATGGAAAACCTAATGCAGTTTCTTCCTCAGTGAGATTCAGACACTGGAAGCAGGTTGCTGGTTTCTCAGTCAGAAGCTGGTTGTAAACCTGAGGCCATCAGGTATCAGTCAGTTATGGTAGATCTGAAATTTGGTTTGATGACGTCAATATGAGAAACTACAGATTGATAGGAGGAACCAAAGAGCTCTGCAGAGGTAAAGGCAAATATTCTAAATCTGGGATATAATTAATTTAATTTCACATAATCATTGTGGTGGAAGCCATTTGTTTAAAACTTTATCAAATATATTTGTCCTATCTGATGTTTGGTGTGATATTTACTGCAAATGAACGAGGTAATTAGTCCAAGTTTGTCATTTATTGAACATTTAGAAACTCCAGCGGCTGTAATGAACCACAGCGAAGGTAAACAAAGGTAAAACAACCCGAACAGGTGATCAACTCAATACCATCGTACCTTTTTACTCTTCGTCTCACTGTGTCGTTTAAGCACATTCGTTGCCGTGGCAACCGCCTGCGCCCCGCAAGCCGGGAAAAGATTACATTAAAAATGATATCAGGTTTCCAGGCTTGATATTTAGTTATCTATTATTAATGAGCCTCTTATGAACACAGTGGTGCCTGAGTAGCTAATTTAAACTCCTGTTCTGCTAGTCAGTCGGTCTTTAAGTCGCCTTTTTATTTGTTAATGGATCTGGAATGCAGCTTAACAATAATTGCTGAGAATATAATTTTTTTAATTGAAATTTTTAGAGTACATTCAAAAAGAAAAGTCAAACAATACTTAGAAAATATAAGAGACAAAAAACACAGAACAATCAAAACAAATATTACACACTGGGCAAGCTCTTATTTTAGTAACAAAAAACTCAAGGGGACCGCTCATACCCAAAATTAGTCCTGTAGCGTTGATGTGATGTTTGTCCATTTTTCCCATTTATCCTGACGTTGCTCTTCTTGTGTCCTCAGTCTATGTGTTAGAATCTCCATCTCAAAGAGTTCACAGTCTGTATCCATTCCTTTGTGGTGGGAGGTTCAGATTGGCACCACTTTCTAGTTATCACCTTTTTGGATCCCAACATAATATTAAACAAATAGTAGTCATTATTAAGTACAACATTGTACTTAATACAATGTTGGTGGCACATAAAACCAGACCAGTCTTAGGTATTGTGTAACCTAATATTATTGCAATCTTTTTGTGAATTTTGTTCTAGAACTGTGTAATTCTAGGGCAAAGCCAAAAAATATGTACTCCACAATCTCTCCAACACGGTTGAACAGTAGATTTGAATTTACTGGTAATGTTGGGTGTTGTAAAAAAATCTGATTATATTCTTCCAACAATGTTCTCTCCAAATTCTGGAAGAGGATGTCGTAGTTTGGGTCTTCCAGATATTCAACCAGTCGTCTTCCGTTAGCAGAATTTCCAATTCCCTTTCCCATTTTGTTTCAATTTCCAATGTGTTAGTGCCTCTATTTTCTAACAGATATTTATAGAATATGGACACTGTTCTGTGTTTTTTACCCTTATAAGTCTCGATCAGCATTTTGACAATCCCATTTTCATTTTGGTCTATTTTGTATTTTATCTTTGTGTTATAAAAGTTCCCTAATTGTAGATATCTAAAGTGATCTTGAGTTCTTAGAGCAAACTCTTGCTGTAGTTCCTGGAAACTTCTGAAGTGCCCATCTTTAAGGACTACGTATAACGCTCTTAAACCTCTTTCTAGCCATTGTTTAAATTGTAGGTCTTGAATTAAATATTTGTTGTAGGCTGGGAACTGGATCAAACATAATTGTTCCTCAAATTTGCATTTCCAGATTATATATATATTACATATATTATTTGCCATAGTTAAAAGCCAAATATCTCATTACCCAGTGAGAAACTAGTAATAGTTTTACTATTACTATTAATTGTATTTATTACTAATTAATTTTTTCAAGTGTATTCTTGGTGGTCTCGAGATCTGCAATCATACTCCGCAATTCTCTTCCATGGACTTTTTGTTCAATATTTTTTCATTTCGCTTCATAATTTTTGGCACTTATATTTATTATGGGCGTTATTTGGGCACCATGATAATATTCTTTAAAGTCAGGTAAAGCCATACCTCCCTTGTCTTTGGGTAATTGTAAAGTGACAAATTCTATTCTGGGTTTTTTAGCGTTTCATATGAATCCAGATGTAATCCGGTTCCATATTTTAAACTGTCTGTACGGGATTTCTATAGGTAATGCCAGGAAAAGATGCAATAACCTTGGTAATGTGTTCATCTTTATGGCTTAAATTCTTGTGCTGAAATCTGATGTTAGGGTATCCCACCTTCTAATATCCCTCCTAATTTCTTGGTCCACTTTAATAAAGTTAACTTTATAACTTTAGGATATAAAGTTAGCTTTATATCCTAGGTATGTCATCATAGTAGAGTTCCAATTTAAATTATTTTTTCCACGTATCGTTTCTGATGGTGTATAACCGAAGGTCAAAACCTGCGTCTTTTTCAAATTTAATTTATATCCTGAGAAAAAGCCAAATATTTCTAACTGGTTGATCAGACAAGGCAGCAAATTTACAGGGCTTGATAAATAACAAATTACTGTACTCTCCAGACTATAGAGCACAACTGATTATAAGCCGCACTCAGTACATTTTTAAAGGAAAAACCAGTTTGATTTCTCTGTTCTGATATACGGGATACGATTTGTTCTGTATTTCATAAGCCGCATGTACCTACATTGAAACATGAGATATTTACAAAGAAAGATGGTACACAGACAGAGTTTTCACAGTTTTAATAATATACCTTAGCTTTTCTTTCCAAACATTGCCTGTGACTCAGCAGTAACACAGCAGCAACACGGTAGAACAGTAATAACAGTAGGGTGACCAGACGTCCCCGATTTCCGGGCACACTCCCCGTTTTACACGACTTGTTCCCGGCTAAAGCTGTCCCCGGAAATGTTCCCGAGTTTGCGTTTTATGAATAAGATTTATTTGTGTGTGTGTTTAAGCTGTTATTACGGTAACCGAAAATATAAAGTGAGAGTTAGCATGTTGTGTGCAACAACAGCTGTTACGGTAGAGTTGCTGATGGTCGCAGAAGATTAGAGCACGTCGCCTTTAAAAAGAACAAAAAAACCCCTCAAAGAGCAGGGACTAGAAGAGAGCGCGAGCTACTCACCGCAGTCGGGTGAGTAGCTCGCGCTATCCTGGGGGAGCTGACCCGTGATGGTATGGACTTGTATCTTGGACTGGGCTGATCCTTGCCGTAAAAAAGGTGTGATTCACAATAAAAATGATGCTAAAAACAAATTAGGGATACCATCCATCCTGTAAAATACGAAATCGTCCTCTATTTGGACGATTTCGTCCAAATAGATTTCTCTGTTCTGATATACGGGATACGATTTGTTCTGTATTTCATAAATGCCCATGGTTAGACACATCTGTCACACACAGACATCGAATCTAAATGTAACGGCAAGGAACAAAACAGAAAAAATATTAAAACCAGCTACATTGTCGTGGCAAGAGGTCCTACACACTGTCAAGGGGCTGCTAATAATCTACATTTTGTCGTTCTGTGTCATTAAGCTGGAGTTTGATAATATATACAGCTGAAGTTATTCTGATAAAATAAAAACATCACACCAAAGACCAGAAGTAAGCCATAGACTGTACAAATAAAATAAAGTAAAAACAGTAAGTGCTAAAAAGAGGATAAATGAAATAAGTAGCTCAATTTCGCGTTATTTACAGTAATACTGCAGGCACAAATGTCTTAGACGACGCATTCATCAGAGAATAGTTATTCATCATCTCCTGAGATAGAAGATGGTACAATGTTCTGATTGATTCAGTTTTCTGTTATGCCTTTTGTTAAATATTGTGGTTTGATCGATTATTTCTACTTTAATAAAAATGTGTTGAAATAGTGCTTCTCTTACTGGAGATGACTGTTTTCTTGAGGAGTCCTTTATAAAAACAAAATTAATAAATAAAATAATAAAGCATGCCACTGCTGTGTCAACCCTACCCGATAAGAGTTGGACAACTTCGCTATGGAGGTCATGGCCCGAAGCTGTGGTGGGCGTCCTTTAAATTAAATTCTGAAAGGTGGAAACACTAGCATATTTTTTTAGCTATACATACAAACATACAAATACATATATTTTTTTGTTATATTAGAATTTTTCGCTCATTAGTTCAGGAAACAAACATTTAATTTTATTCATTCTGTATAAAAATTTAAATATGTTATACATTTTAATGTTTCTGGAGGTGATTGTAATTATATTATGTCTCTGTTTTAGTGTAGCAAGAGACTGATTGAAGAGAGGAGAGGAAAAGAGAGCGACTGATAGAACAAAGTGAGAGAGAGCAGAGGAAAAAGGCAAGAGTAAGAAGAGTTGAAGAGAGAGGAAAGAAATAGAAAGATAAAAAAAGAGTAAAGCAAAGAGTATAGGCAGAGTGTTGGAAATCAAAAGGTGGAGCAGGAAGAAGACAAAAAACCGAATACTGGTAATTACAAGATGGCTCTTTCAAAGAAGAGGAAGTGTCATTTCACAGAAAAATTACAAGCAGAATTTCCATTTCTTCGTCCTTGTCGACCAGACCAAGATGACACATTGGTGCACTGCACCCTTTGTAAGTCATCATTTTCTATTGGCAGTGATGAAAGATTTGCTGTGGTGTAGCATCAGCAAACAAAGAAACACAAAGCCTCTTTAACTGCTAGTGTAGGTGTTCCCTCTGTCACAACATTCTTCAAAAAGGTAGAACCTTCTCAAAAAGAATATGATTTAGCTATGCAGGAGGGAATCCCAGCATATCACACAATGAAACACAATTGTAGTTACCGGTCTATGGACTGCACAGCACAACTGACAAGGAAGCTTTATGAGCCAATGTTTTCATGTGCAAGGACGAAAGGTGATGCCATAGTTAGGAACATTTTTGCACCATAGGCATGACTATGCTAACAAAGGATCTAGAGCAGGTTGAGTTTGTGTCCCTGTCTATAGATTCCTCCAATCATGGGCATTTGAAGCTTTTACCAATAATAGTAAGATACTGCAAAATATATGATGGCAGCATGTCAGTAGAAATAAAACTGCTTGATTTTGTTGAGCTCAAAGGAGAAACGGCAGAAGAACTTGCAGCTCAGATCCTGGTGGTGATTGAAAAATACAACCTCGAAAAACACAAACACCAATTTTGTAGGACTGAATAGGGCTTGAAGGGTAAATGTTTACACCAAGGTAAAAGATTCTCTGCAGCGGGAGGTGATTGGCCTGGGTTGTCCTGCCCACATCATTCATAGTGCAACAAGAACAGCTTTAGATACCATTCCTGTTGATGTTGAAAACCTTCTCACAAAAATATTTTTTTATTTTTTATATTTTTACTGTTAGAGTTGAACGACTGAAAAGCTTTTGCGAGTTTGTTGGTCAGGAGTATCATAACATCCTTAGACACAGCCATGTCCGCTGGCTGTCCATGATACCCGCTCTGGAAAGAGTGCTGAAAATGTATGTGCCACTGAAAACTTATTTTCTCTCTTGAGAAAAATGCCCTGTTGTTCTGCAGAGAATCTTCGAAGATCCACTGACTGAAATGTTGTTGGCCTTTGCCCATGGAAACCTGACCATTTTCAGTGACGGTATCAAAATGATTGATTGTCAGAATTGCTCAGCTGTGGAGTCTGCTGCAGTTTTGAAAAACCTGGAGGCAAAACTTATAGCAAAATGGGGTGACAACTTCATTCCCCTGCTGGCCAAAGGACTCAAAAGCAATTCAAATATTGAATTGCACCAAAATGGTGCATTGTCAAGAGAGACCTTCCTCAAAACTTCCAAGTCATTCTTCACCACGGCTGTGAACTATTTGCAAGCATGGGGAAAGCATGCAGACAGTTTCAACAACCTACCCTGTCTCCTTTTAAAGAAGACACCTCAGTGTGAAGAGATCCAGAAGGCCACAGACACACTTAAAGAAAAATGCCCAAATGTCGTCATCAAAGAAGATGATTTATTTGACGAGGTTTCTGCCCGGCATGAGTTCCCAAAGGGGGGCTCACTTGAATGAATGGAGAAAATTGGAGACACCACTCAATCAGAGATGGAGAGCAGTGTTTAACCACTTTGAAGAAAAGTACATCTCACACACAAATCTGGCTAGATTAGTCTCTATTGTCTTGTGTTTACCTGTAAGTCAGTAGAGGGGGTATTCTCCATAATGAATGACATATGGACTGATACCAGAAATAGGTTCACTGTTCAGTAAGCATGGCATCAAGCCCATATTTATTGTCAAGACAAACATAAACCTCTCTTGCCAAGAGTTCATGGAGATGCCGGCAAAAGACAGAGCCATCCTGAAAAGAATCCATTCGTCAGAGAAGTGTACAGATTAGGGAGAGGGAGACTAAGAGAGAGACTGGGAAATTGAGTGTCTGGCAAAGCAGGAGTAGAAATTCAATGGGAGCCATGTTGCATTTGAGAAGACGAGAATATACACTGACCTTTTATTATAATTAGTAACTTTTCTCAATGCTATTTGTAAATATGGGCTATTCTTTGATTTTTATAGATTGCTATTACCTCTGTTCCTCTGTTTTAGTTATCAATTTTTGTTCTATCCAAACTACCAGGGATACCGTTTTTAGTCTTTGCTCTTTTGTGAATTATACTGATATAATACTTGTAAATAGGATGATTTTATAAAGTTGCTGGAGAAGGGGTGGGTTTTAATAAGTTTATTCTTCCACCCACCCCTTTAAATGTTTATTGTTCATTACATTGCTGTGATTTTTTTGTAACTTGGAGCGTTCAATGTGAATACGAAAAGGTTGTGTTCAGGTTTGTCTGTGACACATTTATTATATATACCACTTACAAATAAAGCCTCTGTGATGAAATATTGAATTGATTTCAGTGGTAAAGTAATGCAGTGAGTGATGCAGCCTTGGACCGGCCCTGCATGATGAGTTAAATCTGCTGCATTGCGGGCAGATATGAGTATATGTAATTCAGTGCTGTTAATGTGGCTTTAGTTCTTCAATTTCTGTCTGTTGAGTTTTAATAAGCATCACAGAAACTGTTCTGGTTGCTTAAGTTTGTTTCTCGAGTTTCTCAGATCTCTGCGCGGCTGTGCGCACTGAGTCTAAGTATGTGGACAAAGCATTTGATACGATTTGTTGCATCTTGTAACCGGAAAAATAATACTAAGAATAATAATAAAATAATATAAAACCAGCGTGATGCGTGACTACAAGGAGAGCGCAAAATCTCCTCCCTGGGCTGAAATTGCATGCTGAGGTTAGCGCCAGTTCGTTAACCACTAACGCAGTAAAGCATGGTGGGCCGCCAGGCTCATAATACACTAGGGGAAACCCTGCTGTGGACCTTCTGATTGGATGACTTAAGTGGTACCTTATAAACACGGCAAGGATTTCATGCTAATTTCTGTCCTGATTTCCTTTTCTGAAGGTTTTAAGGGCACTTTGATTATTGAGATGGCTCTTGACGTAATCTAAAGAGAGTCCTGTCGTGTTAAGAGTGACCTCGTTTTCTCAGAAGTACGGTGGGACCACTGTGATCTAAAATCTGGAATATTCCACATGTTGGATTCTCTTGGCCTGATATTGCAGTTTGTTTGATGTTCCCTGATGACAAATGAAACTCAGCCTATTGAATGTGACATGTAGATAATCAGAAAGCACAGTGACGGAAATCCAGAGGGGAATCTAAGATACACAAAAAACAAAGCAAGTTGCCATGAAGCACCAGAAAGTCCTGTGAATGTTGGAGACATCTTTGTCTTCTTTTTTCTCTGTTAAATACATTTGGATTCGCTTTGAAACCAAAAACAGCCATTTCTGTCCCCAAGCCAGGCTCTCAGTGACTGTGTAAAATCTAACAGTAACATTCATTCAGTAATCTGTTTCCTGTATGTGAGGACATTGTGCAAGAAGCGGAGAAACAAATCAGCCTCACGCGCCTAAATTCAAAAGATCTTTCAAATGTTTATTGTTGGGGGTGCTGTGTGGTGGTGCAAGGGCAAAGCACGACCGACAATATGGAGGCCTTAGTCCTCGTGGAGGCAGTCACAGGTTCTATTTAAAATGTTTTTCTTTTTCTTTTTTTTTAACTGTGTTCATGGGTTTTTCCTCATCCTCAGGCCTGAAACACAGAATTGTGCTACAAACATCAAATGCCAACTGTTGTTACCTGCAGTCGTAGTTTCAGTGGTGATTCACTGACAGCTGATGTTGTTTCTCAACTGTTTTTTTTTTAAATTAATTAATTAATTAATTTATTTATTTTTAATCTTATTTCACAAAAATGTTGAGTCAAAGTCTGTGAGTCTTTGTTCAGCACAGGTACCCAGTAAAGCTGGTTACTGGTCAGGCTGGACCTGGCCACTGTGTGCCAGTCTCAGTGACATATGAGCCATTTTGCTCCTTTCATAGACATTGCTTAGTGTATATTACAGATCATACTGTGCCTGTCCAACTGTTTTTGAGAAATGAGAATTGAAAATGTTTATACTCCATTCTAGTCTCAATGTCCTTCCTCACATACTTCCTGTCTCCTTCCTACTATCATTTCTTTCTTTCCTGAATTCCTTCTTTCTTTCTCCCTACTGTTGTACTTATCTTATTTCCTCATCTGTTTCCTTCCTTCCTTTTGTCCTTCATTCTTTTTCATTGAACTTTTATGTTTTGTATTTTGAAAGTTATTTGTTGGAAAATTGAGTCTTAAATTTTCAGATTGAAATATTATAAAACAAATTTATGCCAGATTTTTCCTTTGTAATCTGGTGTATGAGTAAACTGCTATCAACAGCTACTGAAAAGCATCAGGGACAAATTGGAACACAACACAAACCAAATAATGTAAACATTCCAAGCATTAAATGGTTTCCATGTTATAACAGAAGTTCAGAATTTGCGATCAATGCTTTAGATCAGGTTTGTCTTTTCTATTTCAGTTTTTTAAGCAGCCTTTACATCAATGGATAAACAACATGCTCCAAACATTTCCATATCAGAGAAACTTGACTTAATTGGCCAAGAATGAGCCAGCTGTGATGGATTTCCTCTGACCTTCATGTTTTCTCTGAACACTGAACATGGTTTCGAAGCAACCCTCAGTTTAACTAGTAGTCCCATTGAAGTTGTATGTCTGTGTTTGGTCATGAAGTGTAAGGTAATGACTGCTTGTCCAAAGCTTTTCTTTTTATTGGTTCAATAATCTGAAGTCTGACACTGACTGATATTTGGTAGCGAAGGAGAGATCATCTAGAAAGGAGAGTGTGGCCAATCAATGTGCAGCATATTGTCCTTTAACAACCCAAGACGTTTTCTGAACATTTTCTTTGGAATATTTGCCACAGAGTATAGTTTGCAGAAATCTCAAAGAATGAAATGATTGGACATCCCTAAGGTTGGAGGTGTTGGTTAGAATTTATAGCTAACACTACTCTTAATTTTCTTCCAAAGCAAGTTGCAAATTGATCAGTGCAAATTGCCATGAAGGTTTCATTATCAGTGGAAGTAGTTGTGTTTCAAATCTCATTTGGGTAAAAGTCTGTGTTCCTACTTGGGCTTGTATGGCATGATATGTAATTCAGGATGTGAAATTTGCAGCAAATGCTTGAATGATGCAAAATACACACACAGAAAAAAATAAATGCAACAAAAAATTCTGCCACTGCAGGAAATAGAAGCAAACCCAAAATGAAATTCTCCATAATGCATTGAAACCAAAGAACAAAACCTTTTTACAGGCCTAAGCATTTGTTTAACAAATAAAAATACCGTATAAACTCTTTTTTTTTTTTTTTTTACAAATAACTACTGTAAAATAATCATTTTAATCAATATGAACTGAAGGCTTCAAATTGCTGCTCTGTAGCATTTTTTTTCTTCTAAAGCCCACGGTGCAGGTCGTTTTTTGAGAAAAGAAAATAGTTATAGCTCTTTTATCTTCTGGGCAAAAAGATTCTCATGCATTTGCAAACTTAAAATTGGCAAGCTGTTTTACGTACGTGTAAATATTAAACCACAACGTTTTTGACACACGTAGAGAAAAAGCGGAGAGATTGTTAAGCCAATCAGAATGCAGAACACAAAGCACGATGCAAATCCGTGACGCAGCGAGAATGTGAAAGGTGAACCGCATTATAGCGAGGGTTCACTGTAAATGCATCTGGTGGGTTTACCGTTCTGTTGCAGCAGAAGTGTATTACAGTTCCTAATTCTGGGAGGTGACTGGAGGCAGGCTTGTTGAATGTCGCTGGATGGGCTGCATTCGTGTTTTCATCCAGACGGCTGACAGTTGGATAGTCTGTTGTTGTTCAACCCTGGGATCATGAACGTTCTCCCATCTCCGTCAGTCGTTGTTTTTCGGAGAGGGTGCAGGTGTTGGGACTGGTTCAGAAGAAACAGTGGTACTGGATGTGAGAGGGTGAAGAACTGGGTCTTGGATAAACCCAAAGCCTGGAGCGTTCAGTCGTACCATCCCCATTTTACTTTCCTTGTCATTATTTCTGACTGAGTTGACACAGCACAGGTTGAGAGTCCACTAACCTGTAGAACCTCCAGTGTGTCTGCATGAACACATGAACACTTCTCAGTGCAAACATACTGTACTGAATCCCTCCTGTGTCTTTTTCACCAAATACTGACTCTGAACTCAGTTTTTTTCTTTTTACACTTTTTTCTCTTTTCTCACCTTGTTTCATCGCCTCGTGTTTTCGACTCTTTTGCTTCACTTTTATTCAACACTCCTTTGTCTTCCGCTTATTTTCTCTTTTCCTAACTCATCTACATCATCCTCTTTCTTGTGTCTCCTCCATGTACGTTTCTGTTTTCCTGGGATCGCCCTCCTGTCTCCTCTAGTCTCCAGAGAGGAAAGGCAGTGAGTCTCAACCCACTCCAGTCACCAACCGAGAGCTGCTGGGCTCCCACCTCACTGCTGATAGGCTGGGCGGGTCTGTCCAGGTACTGAGAGGAAGGGTTTGCTCTGCAGGCGTTCTGTCTGTCTGCTTTCTTCTGTCTGTCTGCATGACCCTTTTGTGTCTGGAGCCAGGCTGACTGCAAGGAAGTGTCTTTGCATAACATATTATCCCTACAAATGGGGATGTTTCTACCGAAATTCAGAATTATATATATATCCACCACTTGATCTATCCATAATTATTTTCCTGCCCAGATATTAACTCATACGACTTCGAAAACTTTTTCTTTTATGTCAACTTTTCTCAAATTATTTTGTAAATCTTTTAAAGTGGTCCTGAAAAATACCCAGAGGAATTTTTTTCTTGGAAGGATTCTTTGTCTTGTTTTTGTATGATTTTAGAAGGAATAGAGTTTATTCTGCTACACATTAACACCTATGAATCACTTAATCTTAAAAAATACTAAGCACAAGTCCGACTTCTATCATCTGCAGATCTACTCTGATGACTCTGCAGCTGTCGAGTGAATCTGAGATGGACAAAAGGCAGAGTACAGAGATCTGGTGGAATGCTTTGTGTCATGGAAGGAACAGTCGTCTCATCTTCAAAAGAGATGATTGTAGATTTCAGGAGGAACAGGGTTAGATCAAACCCTATTTCCATCGTGAAAGAAGTGGTTGTGAAGTCAGTGTTTATCTGGACAACAGACTGAACATTAATCATTTGCTGGAGCAGCAACATCAGAACCAGGGACCTAAAAACACTCAACAACCTGAGCATTGTTGAGCATTTTTAGGTCAACAACACTCTTTACATGATGAAGCAAAGAAGAGGGTCTGAAGTCAGAGGGTTCTTCAGATTTGCAGTAATACAGACTGTTACAGCACATCCATCAGCATCTACAACAACTCTTTGCAGAACCTTGGAACATTAGAGTAACAATGTTTAATTTCCCTTTGAGGTTGATAAAGTATTTTTGAATTTGAACTGAATTTTACCATAATGATCAAATTTACCATAATATATTTAGTCTTCCTTTCTCTACTTTCTCGCAGAAGAAAGTGGCTGTTTTAAAGTAGCAGCCTCAATGACATGCTTCTGTAGGAAATGCAGTTGACCGAGTCTGGGGGTCAGGGACCATAGCTGCCCACAAAAAGGCAAAATTCTCAAAGCTTGAGAGCCCCTCTAAAAATGCTTATAGTTGCCTATTTTAGTAGTTCAAACACAAAAATATACCTTAATATGGTATAAAGATAAAACACATCTGTAGCATGTGATGCACATAAAACTTCTACTTTTGTTCATGTATAGAACCTTACCCAGATGGGTCACCTATAGCCACCAAACACATGACTTCATAAACTCCAAACAAAACATACAAAATAAAAAGCACACATGAACATCTCTAAACTAACACTTTATCTAGTTTCAGCAATGACTCCTCCGGATAAGCATGCTGAGACAGACAGGCACTTGTGTTGTGTCGTTAACTTTACAACAGTCCCTGATACCGAGCATGCATATGGCGACAGTGAAAAGGAAAGACCCCCTTTAACAGGAAGAACTCTCCAGCAGAAGCAGAAACTAGCCATCTGCCATGACTGACTGGTTGTTGGAGAAGACAAAGCAGATATACATATTAAAAAAAAAGAAAGAAACTGAACCAGGAGTACTTTCTGTGTTGGAGAAAAGTAACACATTGATGGCAGCAGGAGCTCATTTAGCCACTTCAGATTGCAGATATCAGACTTGTTTTTCACTCCACTTGTACAGAGGTATTGCTACATTATATATGGAAGAAATTTAGAAAGGATTTTAAAACCTGGCATTTTACAAGGATATGCTCACTTTGAAAATCATTGAGTCCGTTAAAATAAAAAAAAGATGATTTGTTTGAATCCATAAAGCACTTTTCCTTGAGTGTCAATATTAAGTATTGCTGAAATATTGAATGTTTCAGCCTTTCTTGCTGAACAAACTGAAAAACTTCATGCTTGTATTGGTGGAGTATTTCAGTTGCATGCCCTATTGTCCAGTTTCATAGTTAATGATGGACAGAATTGCTTTTTTATTTTGCACTGACCATGTTGCTTTGTTGCCGCTGACTATAAGAGGGATGAGATGGTGTCCTCATCCAGATTTTCCATCTATTCTGTCCTCCAGGTGATGAACTCGACCAATGGCGAGCTGAATACAGACGATCCTACGGCGGGACATTCTAACGCACCAATTACAGCCAATGCAGAGGTTGAAGTCCCTGATGATATAAAGTAAGAACACACTCATTAACACACACTGTTAAGTCTGTACGTTTTTTCATTCATTCTTTGTGATTGTCCTCCTATGGTCTTGTTTCTAGGGTAATCGATTTCTAATCGATTATTTATGTTGTTATGGTTATATAGGATGAATCACATTTTTGTGTTTCTATGGAGTGACAACTACTGAACAATTGTCTTTTTGTAGAGAAACTGGTATTGTCTGTTTTTCTTTTACTTTTTTAACCCCTAAACTGCCACCCAAACGCTTCCATGTTAATTAACAGATGAGAACACTGGTGTCATAATAGCTAAGGGGTAAATTTATTTTTCAAAGTTAATTAATTAGTATGGATTTTAAATCAGAAAATATAGGACTACTGAAAAGTTTGTCCATGTACTCAATATTTACTCTTTTTGCATAAATTACAGCCTCAGTGGTGAAGGTGCAAAAAAATGTATTCCATAGAAAATTGCAAATCCTACTCCTGGCAATTCTGATTTGATTCAAAATCTATTTTGAGATCTATTTAACATGCATGTCCTTGCCGCTCCTACTTGGCCACTGTTTATATTTTGAGTAATTTATTTTTTTAATTTAAAAAAAGCAGGGAAGCTAAGCTAACCAAATACTGGTCATTTCAGTGACATACTTTTAAGCACAAGCCTATTTTTGTTTAAATATAAATGGGTAGGATACAGTATAAAAACCTTATAGAATTTAAAAAAAAATAATTGTTCTATTTTTTCCTCTTGTCAGCCACATAATTTAAACAGAATCTCTAGAGACCGTTTGAATAGAAAAATGTGGTTTCAGAATCAAAAACAGTTTCTGAATTGAATTGGGGTCCTAAAACTTGATATTGAATTACTGGGCTCTGATTGGCATCTCTAATCGGTGATCACCATGCCACCCCAGACCCGCTGGCAGCACCAGTCCTTCTCCAGCTCTGGATTGGCTTTAGCAGTTTGAAAAAAAATAATTAGTGGATTTGATTCTAAAATCACTGTTTGCAAGTTCCTAAAGATGAAATTGAAAAGTTGTTTAAATCTAACTGGCATGTCTTGAAGTGACAGGCTAGATCTGGGTAGGGTAGATCTATCCTGTACTTCAAGACAGACAAAATCCAATGAAGTTGTGTTGCCTGTGAGCATAAAGTAGCTGCTTTCTTAACTGACTTGTATTTTTCAGGTGCTGCTGTTTCTTTAAGAGGAGAAAGAGGAAAGCTCTACAGAGACACAAGTGAAAAGGAGAGACTGGAGAGAAACGTTTGCTCTTTCCTTTGTCATCTTTTATTTCCCCTTCCTGACGTATTTTTCAAGCCATTTTTCTTGAACTCTTCCTCCTCTGTTTAGCCCTCTCCTGTACCCATGCAGTCCCCTGTTAGTCTGGAGCAAAAAGCAGGTGGTCTGCCAGTTTCCTCTGGGCTGTGTTGACATTGAAAGGCCTTTTCCGTTTCACCACTGAGCTTCAAATGTGCCGCTTGTTCCAACGGTGGACATATTCAGCTATTGTTGGGACAATAAAGGAGTAAATGACAGACTATACAAGCTAATCATCAGACTGGATTCAGCTAATCTACTGGAAAACTGACTGATTTCTTTATTTTTAGAGTGTTCTTCCTTACTGACTGGACCAGAAGATAAGTGTATTTCAGGAGATCCAGACAAGAGGACTTATAAAGCATGGAATCCAGAGACCACATGTGCAAACAGAAATCATGCTGCACATTTTGTCGAGCTCATCATAAAGAGACTTGATGGACAGAGATGCAGTTGCTGCACATAGTTTTTATTCCCTGGGGTGAAAGAAGTTGCACAACGAGTGGCCTGGTCCAGGTTGTAGAACTGGCCGAGCTCAGTGCTTTCCTCATTCACCATCCAAGGGAAACCTTCACAACCACCAGAAAACTCAGAACTTAAGAAAAGATGTTTATGTCAGATTTAAGCTTTACCCTGACTTTGAGTTGTAACTAAAATAAGACTGTTCTCTTTTCATTTTTTTTCTCCTTCTGAATTGTTCAAGTTTGTTTTGTAGCTTCTAGTGTGATCCTCAGAATGCTTTTTTTTAATAACTGAAGTTTTTGTTTTGGTTTTTCTCTTTCTCTTTCAGTTTGAGGATGGAGAAATGGATAATGCCATTAAAAAAACAAAACACAATAAAAAGCTATCTTTATTAAAGAGACTACAAACATGTTATATTACCTTCTATTTGTTGGTAGTTCTCGTTTTGTCTGTTTTTTTTCTTTTTCCATATTTCTGCATCAGGTAGATATAAATTGTGGCTTTTAGTGATGAAGTCATCAGAGATTTTGTAACCTGTATTGTTTTAGCCAATTTCCATTTCTAAATTTCAAAATTGTAAAAAAGTTATCATGTGGACAACATTTTTCTGGTAAAGTTCTGAACTTTACCAGAAAGTTGAATAAAGTAGATTAAACGAATACAGTAAGATCACAGTAAGATCCTCTGAGTCATGTGTCAAACTCCAGTCCTCGAGGGCCACTGTCCTGCAGTTTTTCGATGTGCCACAGGTACAAAACACTGGAATGAAATAGCTTAATTACCTCCTCCTTGTGTAGATAAGTTCTCCTAATTATTCTATTCAGGTGTGGTGCAGCAGAGGCACATCTAAAAGTTGCAGGGCCGCGACCCTCCAGGATTGGAGTTCAACACCTGTGGTCTAAGTTATGGTGTAGAGGTTTCCTCAAGATATCGCTCATCTTTCCAACACTAGTTTTGTCTCAGAACAGTTATTGGTTTTTGCATACCTCAAAATGTAGCTTGGCAGCATGCATAGTGTTTTACTTAAAGACGTAAATTGCAGAGTAATTGAGACAGATAGGGTGGTGGTTCAAACTCACAACACAGTAGTTACAGAACAGACTCCTACTTCCTGAGCCCCTGCCACTCCAAACTTTACTAAACAATGGGCAAAAGTTTTAATTTCTAGAAATACAAAGTGTCACTAATGATTTCAAAATAGGTTGTATGATCAAATGAAACCTACCAGTATTTGTTAAGCTTACATTTCCTCCAAATACTTGAGCAGTTTCTGTTTTGACCAAGTGTTTATCTAAATATCAGCCTGAATAAGCAAGAATGTCAAATGGCAGAAAAGGGGAGATTTCAACAAAAAGGTGCAACTACTATAACTTTGTAAAATCTAAGTCTGGAAATGTTATCAAATATCTTACATACTTCTCATTTGAGTGAACTTTTCAGTGTAGTCTAATCTCCATCATTGATGCCATAGAGAAGCAACAGATGAATCTTATAAGAATTTGTTCAAAAATAATCTACCTATTAATCTTTTAAGCTTTCCTTTTCTGCTTTTTCTTAAACAAGAAGGCCAAAACTGTTAAAACCTCAAACGTGAAAGTTCATTCAAGAACCAGAAAAATATGAGTAGATGTGGCTTGATTTCTGCTTTGTTTTAACTGCTATTAAAACGCAATTTTAATCGCGATTTAATTTAATTTAAAAAGAAAAAAGATTTTGGCAATTGTTTTAGGAAGGTGACTATATGCGACACAGTCACATAATTGCTTTATTTAACAAAATTGCGGAAGGGATCGGGAAGAGGAAGTTCCACCCACTAGGCTCTTGTTATTGGCTGAGAGGAGCAACGTGGTTGTCCTATTGGTTAGTTTTAACATGTGCGTCATAGTTACCGGCGACCTACATTGTTTACGTCTTCGTTAAAGCCAGGTGAGGGCCAGCTCAGGGACCAGACAGATTCATAACTGTCACGTGTTTTCATTTTTGCGAAATGTTAAGAACAGAAGACAGTGGAGCAGTTTCTGTCTGGTTTAAAGATAAAGGCCTGGTGTGAGTTTAATTAGCTAAAGTGTTCTGTTGTTGACGTATCTTCGTAGCTCGTGTTTCATATGTAGCTGGTGACACTTGTTTAAAGAAGCGCACACGTCAGACATCTGCGGTAGAGAAACCCCTCCTTCGTTCCCTGGTGTTTTGTTTCGGTTTGTGTCCTTTCTGTGATGCTCCTCCTGTCTTTACAGCTCCTCGCTGACTGTCAGCTGACAAGCTGATTAAAAGCGGAAAGAACAACATAAGCTGATGGAATAATCTTTACTCTTTCCCTCGTGCTGGGACAATACGTTGGTTGGTAAACAAACGTAGCCAGCATGTTTATTTGTTTTCTTTAAGAACATTGTTACTGAAAAAGAATAAGGAACCAATACCTTTTTGGGGGGTGGAGGTTCAGAGATGTCAGTCTAGTCTGCTTGAATAATTTGAAGCCATTTCAACTTGATGAAAGCGCGTGCAGAGTTCCTCCTTTGAACCCTCGAGAGCCATCATGTCGGACACTGAGAGGTCTCTGCCCGCTGTCAGAAAGCTCAGCTATGCTGTGGGACACTTTCTCAACGACCTGTGCGCCTCCATGTGGTTCACATACTTACTGGTGTTCTACCACTCAGTGCTGGGATTCCAGAACACAAATGCAGGTGAGTCAGTCTGTCAGAAGCGATGCGTCATATTGTTTTAGTCTCCACTAATAGGTAAATGACTATTTCACAGTTTTTTAGGCCCGAGCAGCTAAGCGCTGCGAAGGCCTATTGTTTCTGTACTGTTTCTTATTATTATGCCCCCCTAAAGAGGCCTTTTGGGGGCTTTATCATATTCAAAACTCACCAAACTTGGCGGACGCGTAAAGGGAGTTTCAAAATTTTGTATTTTAAGGTCATCGCAAAAATCCCATAAGAAATGGCTCAATAGCGCCACCTACAAATTTTCAAAGGACCCTTTGCTATTCACTTACTTTATCCTAGAGACATGAAATTTGGTACACTTGTAGAGCTCCCCAAGATGCTCAAAATTTACAATTAATGTCATAGTGCAAGTATAGTCGGCCATTTTGGATTGAAGGTCCAATTTTGAGGCCATTTTTGCCATTTACAGCCTTCGTATTTGTTCGAACTCCTCCTAGGGATTTCGATTGATCGGCTTCAAACTCGGTCAGTCTGTTCATAAGGCATGTCCCATCTAAAGTTATCAAAACGGTGAGTTTTTGAGTATGCTGAAGGGGGGTTAGCAGGGGTCAAAGTTCACCTACTCGCCATAAAAACATAAACTGCTATATCTCCTACACAGAAATTCACAGAGGCACCAAAGTTTCTGTGATTTATCATCATCGGGTGTCCTACAATACCTAATGGTCGAATGATGACATCACTTAGGCCACGCCCCCTGAGAACAGGAAGTGTAATGTTTTACTGTGAATGGTCGCTATCTGACCCCTTTGACCTCATCAACATGAAACTGTGCCAAGACACAGAAGACATGTTGGTGTATTGAGGATTCCAACCCCGACCAGCTTTGATGGAGCAGGTGGGCGTGGCGGCGTGGCGAAGTGACCTGTAACGCCATCGCCATACGTTTGGCTCTCAATTCCACATTTTCAGGCCCAGCTGCTCCAACTCACAAGGATGGATCTTCATCCACTCCCCGACAGGAATCCATCACAATATTGGTGGGCGTGGCCTAATTTCTTTATAGCGCCCCCTAGAAAATTTTAAATGATCAGCCCCAAGCCATGCTTTAACCTACAATTACGAAACTTTGTACACATTTGTATCATGTCAGGACTTAAAAGAAAGTCTCTTGGAGCCATGGTCTAAACCCCACAGGAAGTCGCCCATTTTGGATTGAAGTTCAGATTTTGACCCCATTTTTGCCGTTTACAGCCTTCCTATTTGATCGAACTCCTCCTAGGGATTTCGATTGATCGGCTTCAAACTCGGTCAGTCTGCTCATAAGGCATGTCCCATGTAAAGTTATCAAAACGGTGAGTTTTTGAGAATGCTGAAGGGGGGTTAGCAGGGGTCAAAGTTCACCTACTCGCCGTAAAAAAATAAACTGCTATATCTCCTACACAGAAACTCACAGAGGCACCAGAGTTTCTGTGATTGATCATCATCGGGTGTCCTACAATACCCTATGGTCGAATGATGACATCACTTAGGCCACGCCCCCTGACAAAAGGAAGTGTCATGTTTTACTCTGAACGGTCGCTATCTCACCCCTTTGACCTCATCAACATGAAACTGTGCCCAGACACAGAAGACATGTTGGTGTGTTGAGGATTCCAACCCCGACCAGCTTCGATGGAGCAGCTGGGCGTGGCGGCGTGGCGAAGTGACCCGTAACGCCATAGCCATACGTTTGGCTCTCAATTCCACATTTTTGGGCGCAGCTGCTCCAAACTCACAAGGATGGATCTTCATCCACTCCCTGACAGGAATCCATCACAATATTTGTAGGGTGTGGCCTAATTTCTCTATAGCGCCCCCTAGAAAATTTTAAATGATCAGCCCCAAGCCATGCTTTAACCTACAACTACGAAACTTTGTACACGTGTGTACCATGTCAGGACTTACAAAAAAGTCTCTTGGAGCCACGGTCTAAACCCCAGAGGAAGTCGGCCATTTTAGATTGAAGTTCAGATTTTGATCCCATTTTTGGCGTTTATAAACCATTTCAGTAATTCGCCACTTGGGGTCAGTATTGCTCCACAAATGAAACAGCAGATAAACAGGATGAAGAACAATATCAGTTTTTCGCCAGTAGGTGTCAGTGTTCCTCCACCAATGACAGATCCACGGGCGGATGGGCGTGAAAACTTTGTGAGAGCGTTGCCATGAAATTTCTAAAAGGATAGAAATGTCTCAGATAATTTTTGTTGAATTAAATCATGCAGTAAATGTAGCGTTTTCTTACTTCTTACAAACCATTTCAGTAATTCGCCACTCTGAGTAAGAATTACTCCAACAATGAAATAGAGTGCTTTAGAAACACAGCTAAAAATGATGAAAAATGACGAACTGTAGTACTTCGCCATGTGCATATGATCGGCTGTAAATGACACGTGGATCATCCGACTGACACCAAATTGGATACGTATGACCTTTGTTGACCTCTAAAGAGAACAACAGCATTGAAAGATATTTTGACTCCACTGCGCGTCCTACATTAATCCGCCAGCTATATTTCCTCGCTAAACCAATGAATCTGCACCACATTTTTTGCATCGTCAAGGAGCGCCTCCGAACGCATCAGTGCGTACCGCCTGGTGGACGGGCGCGGAAACTGCGCAACAACTTCTGTGTTAGCACGTGGCCAGCGTTGATGGAAACTGAGCAACAGCTTCCGCGGTGCGGGCGGAGGTGCTGAAAACTGCGTGAGAGCTTCTGTGGTGGCTGGCGTGAGGCGGCGGTTGCTAGTACCCCGCGGTGGCAATAGGCCGGAGCGGCGCTTGGCTGCGAGGGCCGTTCGAGGCTGCTTGCAGCTTTAATTTTTGTTGTTGTTGTTGTTGATTCAGAATTACATACAGCTACAGTTGAAAAGAAAAAAAAACTAAAATCAAAATGCTGAGCTACGTGAAACTAATCTCTTACTGGTGGTGAAACTGTGATCCGGGGAACTTGTGCTGTATTTGTAGCACCTCAACATTTGTGTTTTATTTCTAGCCTTTAGCCCTATTACATTGGCTCCACATTAACATGCACTTTATCTAGAGTGGTCCAGCATGTGAATATTCTACTCTTAAGAGTTTATAAAGCACCTGTCTGTGAACGTCCAAAATAGTTTACAGACAAATAAACTATTTTGAGTTTACTTGGGGTTCAAATGTTCCAGATGAACATCTGGAGATTAAGGATGATGTAACCAGAAGGTTACTGAAACATTTACATTTTCACAAAAGACCTGGTTGATTTGACTTGCTTGTTGCCCCTAATAAATAAAATAACTTTTTAGTAAACATTTTGTAATTACTCAGGTTATCTTTGATATTGCCATTTGTTTGATGTAAAGCATTCATCTAGGTCCAGGACCTAGAAACCAAAACCTGAAGAAACGTGTCAGGTGGAAAATCATTTTATGACATTCTGATGTAGTTATTTCTTTGAATTTAAAGGATATACAATTTATATCCAAAGTAGTAAGTTACGCTTTCAGTTTTTATTGCGTTCATGCAAAATATGCTTCAATGTTTCTAGACACACAGTAAATCTTAGCGTAGCTGCAAGGCACTCGCAGACTCTTTCTTTCATAATGACTATTTATTGTGAAGGTAAATTGAATTCCCACTACATATGATCAAGTTTACCACCATTAATATCTGTTCTGTTTAATCCAGTCAGTATTACAGAATTGCTAATCTGTAACCATTTGTGTGTGCTGCAGGTGTCTTGTTGCTGGTTGGTCAGATAGCTGATGGCATCTGTACACCCCTCGTTGGCTATGAGTCAGACCAAACCTCTGGTTGTGGAAACTATGGCAAGAGGAAGACCTGGCATTTGGTTGGTGAGTTTGTTACTACAGTTGGATGGAGGGGATGCATCACACTGCAGTCTCATGTTACTGTAGCACAAGGTTTAGAAATGATTTACTGTCCTTTAGGAGTCATGAAGGTTTATTCATTTGCTCTTGAGTCATGTTGTAAGCTCAGACGTTTCCAGTTCAAGGTATAAAAACAGTTTTTATAGGTTCTTGGTTTTAAACTCTTTTGGCCTTTTGTTTTTCAGATAAACACTAGAACTACTAAGTGAATGGTGTTACATTATGTTGTATTACTGGCATGTGAATAATTCAGAAAAGAGTCTAGTTGCTCATCACACGCAGTGGATATAAATAAGCTCATTCTATTTTTCTGTAATTAATACACAGATATTTAAAAGATAAGGATGGGTATTTTGGAAATGTTAGCTTAGAATCCTATTTAAAGTGTTGAGATCAACCACTGGCACATTGTGCTTCAGCCTTTAAAGACATCTGCTCAGGAGAACACGGAGTGATCTATACGATGTTATGAGTTCAGTTGACCTGACAGGAGCAAACCATCTTGCGACACCTGCAAGCACCAGAACGTCCCAAATGGTTTTCAGGTTTACATCCAATCTGCACCTGCGGAGGGCCAATAGTTATTCTGGGACTTGTGTATAAAAGAGTGCACAAGAGTGTTTTTACATAAAAACTGGCAAGAGATAATCATGTGAAAAATATTGGGGTCAATGCTGCTTGAGCTAAATAATGGAATGGAGTTGGGTTTCAGTGTATTTAGGTGAGTTTTGGCGCTTTGTAGTTTATTGTCCGAAACAAAATGTTTGCATGACTATCATACATTTTCACGACAGGTAAAAAGTTTGCGTATGTCTATGCAAACTTTCACAACACGTTCATTTTTCCAACTTGTGCATGAAGTTTCACACCACAAATGTTTTGTGCATTCACACATTTTCTACATGAGGGCTCTGGTGCTCACTGTGGTTAACTTGGATTTCTAATGCGTTTCTTAGATCTGTAGCTTAAGCTAATTAAGCAGTTGATTTCTGTACTTTCATCTCTTCATTTTACTTTTGTTGGAAGCAATTGAGAGTGGATACATTGCCATCCTTTAATTCCCTCATAAAATGAGGTTGCAAGATGCATTCTTGAAACCATGGTTTAGAGCCCAGTTGAAATTTAGGAATAAAGGTTTAGTCCCAAAGGGAAGTTGAATGTTGTTTTAACTCATCTTATCTTCTTCAGAGAGTTGTTTTATATTCCGATGACTGTGGGCAGGAAGGATCTCATGTGGCGAGTTTGAAGAAGCCTCTGACTAAAGACAGTGTTGTATATCAGTGTGATGAAAAGGATGCTCAGGTTTGTTAGGATGTTTCTTCATTTTAGAATCAGCCTTTGCGTAATAATCTCCAGAAATCCCCAAGTGGTCAGATAGCTAAATGTCCTCAGAACAGAACCAGCCTTCTTTATCAGTTGTTCAGCCTTTTTAAGTCCCTTTGACTTACAGAAGCACGGTTTCAAACTCAAATGGCATGTAAGAAGTTGGCTGCATATTTCTTGAACTTGTTACCAGCTGAGTGAGCACATACTGAAAACCAAAGTTTCACTTCTGAAAAGTCTTTGCTCCATCTACCTTGCTTTGTCCTGACTGCTAATAATAGACTGGCTTTTTGCTCACAAGGTTTTGGATAAATTTTCAGGTAACCATGTACACTGTACCAATTGGTATTGGCCATTGCTGAAACAATATTAATTATAGCTCTTATTGTGCTTTGTTCGAACATGAACCTATCATTACTATTAACTTCCAGGCAGTAAAAAGCCTGGCATTAGTTCCCATTTAAAAGGTTTTGTCTGGAGATTTCTTTTAATTTTTATCTCCAAAAATTAGAAAATTACAAATGTAAGAAAAAATCCATTTTTTCTTACATTTATTTTTTGATTTGAGACATAAATCAGAATTTGTAGAATGATTATTTATATCATTCTAGAGCAATAAGAGTTTGTTTTGTAACCACAAAGAGTCGAGAGGCTTCAAAAACAAGAACCATTTAAGGCATTGTCTACATGCCTGGGTGAGCACAAGAGGAAGTATTACAAATAATCACACAGGGTACTTTTAGCTTTTTTAATTGTCTTTTGTGAAGAAAACTGTAATAAACTTAAGCTTACTACAGACTCTGAATGCAGACAAGCTCTAGGAACTGATTTCAGAACTTGTTTAATCACAAATCCTACATTTAATGAGACATTGATCTTATTTGCAACTGCTTGTTGTTACCTAAAACAGAAACGTGTTCAAAGTATCAGCGACATTACAGAATGTAACATAAAAAGTTCTAGTAATGTTGTAGAGTAATAGAAAACATGAGAGGCTTCAGACATGACACATCAGTAAAGGAGCAATATCTTTGTTACAGACCAACATAATTCATGCTATGGAGTGATTGGCCCAATCCCCAGCTTTTAATTCAATTAAAACCTTGCAAAATGATGTCACATTGACGCACTGTTTCCAAAGGAAAGCTAAGACAAACTGTCCTGGAATGAAACATCCAACCCCCTCTGGTGAAGGGCAAAGATGGCCGCTCTAGTTCAAGATCCTAACTTGAGTTGGAAAAAGGAGAGAGTTCAGACTTGACTTAGACTTGTGGCATCTAAGGCTTGTGACTTGACTTGGCCTCTTGATCTCAGACTTGAGTCTGAACAGTTTTATGCTGTGTAATAAAGACTGACACAAAGCTGGAATTTGAGCTGATGAACTGGATCATTAGCCTGGGTCAGAGGTCGGCAACCCAGCATGTTGAAAGAGCCATATTGGACCCAAAAAACGATAAACAAATCTGTTTGGAGCCGCAAGAAAGTAAAAGCCGTATAAAAGGCTTTTATAGAAGGCAAAACAGGCTCTAGGTGTTTATATTAGCGTATTATCAAAATGACTAAGTGTATACATAATTAGTATTCATGATTAAATGTTTATTTCCCTGCAGGAATGACGCATCACGTGACTCTTCAGTTGTACGATGGTGCTTTAAGTTTACCTTCTGTTACAATATGAACGCATTTACAAAATTAAAGAAACGCAATAAAGAAATCAGATTTTTGATATCATTTTTATTATGAAGAGCGACAGGGAAAGTGTCATTTTTTTCCCTTTGTGGAACACGGAAAATCTGCCCCGAAATGCAGTTTGCTTAACGACGATCGCTCTTCGTAAATAATCACCGTTAAGTGACTCTTTTTCAGAAGCCTCTTTTCATTCTGTTTATCTTCAGGCACGGTGTGTGTGGTGGTGTCCTTTGCCTTCGTCTTCAACCAGTGCCTTGGCTGTGACCCCAACACTCCTCAGTGGGCCAGCTTGATCTACTTTGCCCCATTCATCATCATCTTCCAGTTTGGGTGGGCTGCCACGCAGATCTCACACCTGTCTCTCATCCCAGAGCTGGTCACCTGTGAGCATGCTAAAGTGGAGCTCACTGCATACAGGTAAGGGATCAGCTCCAAAGCACTGGGCAGGCTGACGGACAGGTCCTGAATTAGTACTCTCCCTGTGTGTGTGTGCAGGTATGCATTCACTGTCACAGCCAACATCACAGTGTATGCCCTTGCTTACCTGCTGTTCCACGTTCAGACTGGAGAGGACGAAGACTCTCTCGGACCAGCAGATACTAACATCTTTAGGGTGAGAACATGGATGGATGCTTTTTCTGATATTTAACTGCTGTCTGAGGGATACTGCCAATAATAATGATATGAACTGATGGAGAAGTTAAGTAAATGTCACTTTTTTTAGAAAGTGCCAGCTCTTTAAGTGGCTGACCCAGGAGGGAGGAAATATTTACTGACTTGTTCTTATCTTTGAACCTCTGAAAACACCACACTGTGCAGTGGATGCTGGATCTTTCAAGTTTTATTTGTTTTTTGTTGTTTTTTTTAGAAGTAATCTGAATTTAAAAAATGCATGCCACACTTTTCAGTCTAAACAGTCTTCCGCTGCAATTACCATTGAGTCTTCAGTAATAGAGACTTCAGTTTTCAAGACTTTCTCATCTGAAGTTCAGCCTGGGCTTTCTCTAGAGCTTTCTGAAGAGGCTTTGACTACACACTTTGACTGCACAAATCTCCCCACACACAGTGGGACGTCTCCTGCTGCCCCAGACAGGTTTCCTTCCAGGGTTCTGCTGTTTTTAGCTCCACCCATGTTCCCTGTCAGGCAATCAGAGCCTGGGATTTTGTTTTAGAATAGATCATCTCCAGCATCTTGGTGAATCCTTTTGTCTGTGACTTAATAAACAAGTGTATAATATAGTGCTGTACTTGAACCCAGAACCTGTCATTGATTGTGTTGGGGATCGGCGCTCTCTTCGCTGCTTTCTTCCACCTGGGAACCACAGAGTGCCCCAATCACAAAGGCAGTAGGGAGGAAGAGGAGGCTGAAGAGGAGGCTGAAGGGGAACGAAGGCCGCTGCTACCTTCTTCCTCTGTTTCTTCATCCCATCTGCAGTGGAAATGTTGGCTCCGGCAGCCTTCCTTCTACCAGGTGAGCCTCTCCACTGGTACCAGAGCAAAGCAGCGTGTTGGAGAGCAGCTTGACAGCAGAGCATGTGTGTGTGCAGGTGGCCTTACTCTACATGTCCACCAGGTTAATTGTCAATCTGTCCCAGACCTACATCTCCATGTATCTCATAAACACTCTTGGCCTGCCCAAGGTAAAACTCACTTATTATATCACTCATGTATTTGGTTTTCATTCCCATAATTCAATTCTTATACTGCTTTTCAAACAGAAATACATTGCAACGATCCCATTAGTGATGTATCTGAGTGGCTTCCTGTCCTCCTTCATCATGAAGCCTGTCACAAAACGCATTGGAAAAAGTGTAAGCAGAGCCTTCCACATACCGGAATACACATTTCTTTAGTGCTTGGTGATCTGAAATATTTTAGTGTGACAAAAAAGCAAATAGATTTGAATATTTTACAAAAATAAGCTGAGTTGAGTTCAAATCATTCTAAACCACCCTGGCAGTATGAGAGTGATTCTGTGCTGGAATTAAAGTACGTCAGGTAATTCACTGTTCCACATTTAGGACAGGGATGAATACCTTTGGTTAAATAAATCCACCCCTATATTTGGAGTTCTATTCCCAGATGAAGCTCAGATCAGACAGGCTTGTTTTGTTGTTGGCCTCATCAGATTAAATGGGCCTTAATAAAGTAACAGGAACTGAATCTGACTCGTTTTCTTTACCACATTCCTAAAACAAGGAAGTGAGAAACATGAAGCACTGAAAATGGAATCTCACCTGATTATCTCTTCTTCTGTTTGTTTAGCTCACTTACTTTGTGGGCCTCCTACTGATCATGGCCTTCTCTTACTGGGTGCTGCTAGACGACAAGATGGGTCAGCAGATCTACGGGGCTGCGGTGCTGCTGGGGGCTGGATCAGCCACCATCCTGGTCATATCCCTATCCATGACCGCTGAGCTGATCTCAGATCAGACGGTGAGTCCTCCAGGCTCCTGTTCTGGAGGAAGTGAGCTGAAGGACAGTAGAGTGGCCTCTTTATTATGTACAGTTGTGATTTGTGTCTCTGCAGCAAAGCGGAGCGTTTGTGTACGGAGCCATGAGCTTCACCGATAAACTGGCCAATGGAGTCACAGTTATGATGATTCAAGCTCTGCACCCCTGCCAGTTAGTACACACACACACATACACACACACACATACATACATACACACACACATACACACACACGCACACACATACAATGATGCAAAAGTTCAAATGAATAATAGGTACTGCATGTCATGTTTCAGCAGGAACTACTTTTAAAGTATTTTCCATTTCGTTGTATTTATTTATGCTTTGTGAACCTGAATAGCTCTGGATTTACTCTGAAAGGTTAGAAACTGTGTTGACCTTGTTCTCCTGTCTAATTGGGTCAAAAATTCTTCAGGATTAAAAAAAGGGTTTGCTGCTTACAGATTTCCACTGATTTTTGTGAAATCACTAAACAGATCAGGTGAGTGGACAAAATGTCCTCCATGGGAACGTTCCATAAAACTCAAAGCCTGTTACCTTAACTGAATCAGCTGAGGCTCTTGCAGTAGTTTTTCTTGACTGGATGCTTCTTTTATGTCATATTTGATATAACTGAAGTCGCTGGGAAAAAATATAATACTGCCTCTTTAAATGGGACAGAAGAAAATGTTTCCATTTCCTCATTATTTGTGTGTGTGAAATACATGCGCAGTCATCCTTTTTTGGATGACTGTCCTGTAGCAACCTTTACAGGAAGTGTTGCTATGATCAGCCCATATTTATCCTGGTATAGTCCTGAGTCTGATGGTACCAGGGTTCTTGAGGTTCTAATGCTTTACTTGTCCAACGGTCTCTGTCCTGTCTGTCCCTCAGCACGGTGGTGTGCTGCCCAGCCTGTGTGTGGTTTTATCACTACATTATGGTCATAGTGACGGGGGGCGTGGCTGTCGTTGCAGCATTGGCGCTCTGCTCCATCCTCATCTGGCCAATCAGGATCAGAGCACGTGAGTGAAGCTGATGACACACCAGCATGTTTAGTGAGAGCTCAGCTTTAGTCTTTCTTCTTCTGCTCCCAGGTGGCCTACAAGTCATCTCTCATGGTTCCACCTCAGTTAACTGAGAGCCGGACGGGGCCGCCTTCGCCTTACTGGGAACTCTGGTCTTAGATGGACAGCAGCGACACTCACAGGGTTCTCCTGTCTAATTGGAAACAGGAGAAACAAGATTGAAGCTAATCTTGTTTCTCAGATTAGCATTTTCACTGGAATGTCTTGGAAATCCCATCTTAAATAACCTCTACACTAGGCTGACACTTGGTTGCCATCATTTTCTAGAATTGTTTGGTGCGTGAGATAAAATTATTATACGGGTCCAATTCATTGTGTTCTAGAGATGAGGCCTTCCTCTGAATGAAAGCAAACACAACAGGAGTCCAGCCTTTTCCTGTTTTACATTTTAAACACTAAGAAATTATGATGAAGTCAACATGTAAATCACTAGTGAGCTCAGTGGATAAACCACTAAATCAGTGGACCGGATCCTAAAACCACACTACGCCCCAACAGGACTAAGCTGAAGGAGTTCATCGTTCATCTTGTAGAGAGGACCCCTGCTGTAATTCCTCTTATTTTTTGGGTGTGTTTGTTTTACGCAGGGGAAAGAAAAGTGTAATTTTTTTTTTCAACATATTTTAATCAATTTGTGTTATACCCAAAAAAAAAATAACTTTTTTTTTTGATATAACTTAACAAAAGGGACATGCTGCAGCTTTAATCAACCGAACGAAGCGAGAGCACTTCCTGTTGTGCTTTCTGGAGATCGCTTCTCGTTCAGAGTCATGCAGGTTGAGCTTTAACCATCTGAACCCAAAGATCATTGTAAAATGAAATAAAACTTGAAATAGTGGAGCTGCACCTAACTTTGAAATCTTTAAAAGGGATCAATGTCTATTTCATGTACTAATGGAATAATGAAAGGAATCTTCTTGGTGGAGCAGCACAGCTGAACTATGTCTGACTGGGAACACTGGGAAGAGCTGTTGACCAAACTCTGAACCAAAGCTGAGCTCTGACTCAGGTGACCATCTGGTCTGCTTCACCTGTGTAAAAAATATTGAATTGATGAAGGGATTATTGTTAAGGAGCTGAAACAATAAAGTGTGTAAACCTGCCTGAACTCTATTGTGTTTTACTGACTTCAAGATGGGTCTGAAATTTATGTCTGCCGTTAGACGCATCTAAAAATAAAAAATCCGGAAGTCACAATGCATAATTTTATTTATTTATTTAGTACAGGGACAAAACATATTGGTAGCATTTCTGTACATAAGAAGGTCAGTTTTTTGACTACATACACTGTAACAAATTGCCCTGTATTTTTACAGTATAATGCTGGCAGCAGGGTTGTCAGCATTATACTGTTAATTATACAGTACCCTTACTGTAATCAACTTTACAGTATATTACTATCACAAAAGAAATCTTTTGATTACAGCACATTGCTGTTTTTTTTTTATCAGATTTACAGTAGACTACTGGCAGCAGTGTTGCCAGTATATTTCAGTTTTTCTATGGTACCATTACTGTTGAATTCACATACTGTAAATTTCCAATATAAAATAGAAACATGAAAAAAAAAAAAACACTTAGAAAATGTAAGTTCCATCATGTCAAACATTTACTTGGGAAAAAAAAGAACCAACTCAAACATTGACTCATACACAGTCTTTAGTGGGCCACATAATAAAGACGAAGGTTTTGAAACGACAATGTATGTGTGCCTTAAACCTAAACCCTTTCTACAAGAATGTTGAGGGTAAACTGTCCAAAGTAAGTCATATTCTGGAAAAATAGTAAGAAAATCACCATCTATTTTGTGAAATAAATTTAACTGATTTAAAGAGTATTTGAATAAAGCATGAATTGTGGCCTTTTGATTAGTCTGAAATAAAATAAGTAAATAAATTGTGGAAATAATGCATTGTACAACTCAGCACACTACTTTTTCAATACAAAATACTACTTTTTGTGGAAGTGAGGAACAATATGATGCAACATAAAACAAATGAAACATTTAACTTTCAATCTAAAGCATAGAAAAAAATTGCAAATTTTAGTTTGATAAAAATTTAAATGAAACATTTAGACTTGAATTTCCTTTAGGGCAAAATCAGAGCTCCAACTTCAAATGATAAAACAATGAAACGGTATTTGACAACACACTGCCAAGATAAGTTAAACATGGTGCCTGTACAGTCAAAATTACATCTGAAGAACAGAAAGTGGGAGCCTTAACAAAATGTATGCTCTTAATTAACAGAGATGTCTTAAGATTATGCTGACCTTTAAACCAAATAAGTCTCTCAAGAACACTCCTGTTCAGGGATAAGTTGCCTTCATGCCTGTATAGTTTTTTGTTTGTTTGTTTTTGCGTGGAGGGGCAACAATATCTATAGCTTGGTTAGAAAGTTCTCACTATGAAATTCCATTCAAAGTCCATGAGGTTTTTCAGCAGAGTTGAAACACGGGGGATGACAGTGACCGACTTCTTTTGAAAAGTTTTCCCTGTCCTCTTGGAGATGATCTTGCTACAGCTGGACTTGGTCCGGGTTGATATCAAGAAAGCGCCTGAAAATGCAGTAATTTCAGATTAGCATATGATGCTTAAGGAGTCAGGGTTTAATGTGTGCTAGGTGAAGACAAACTTTTGAAGGTTAAGAGTTAATAAAGAGACACCAGCATAACATTTAAACTGTTTTCTGCCAAGTCAACTCTGTGAAACTCCAAATTCCCAGTTGATATCCATTCACCAATTTCACTTTAGCAGCTACTCATAACAATTCAAGTCAAATTACACAAAAGAAAGAAAAAGAGCTTCCAAACATGTCAATATTTGTAAATATGAATCATCAAAAATAACTTACCTTAGGATTGGCTCATAAAATGCAGGATTCAAATGGATAGTCCTTGTAAAGAAAGTTCTAGAGGTTGCTTCCACATGTCACAACAACATGTCTTCTTCAGAAATACAGTAGCGTTCTGTTTAAAGAGCCTCCTTACCGTTGAATCTAACATCATTCCCAAAATGCAATGCTACTCACAGTATTCTACAGTATTTTATTAAAAACAGTAATAATTGCCCAGAATGCATTGTTTTTTACGGTGCAGTACCGTTTTCAATAGAAACAGTATGATACTGTTCAGTTTTGGACGTTTTTTTACAGCAATTTGTTAGTGTAGTTACATGAACACGATAACAAATACAGTTCACTTAATACCATAGATTATGAAGCTGAAATGCACATTACTACCCTGACACTACAACTTATGTTCTACGTTTGAGTGGCAGTACATGAGATCAAATAGAACTTGTTGACGTAAGATCAGTAACCGTACAAATTTATAAAGTTCAAGGACAATTGGTTAACAGGATAACATTCGCTCTTGGCAACATTAACTTTATACCCTGAGAATTGGCCAAATCTGTGAAACACCTTAACAATAGCGGGGCATGTTCCTATTGGATCAGTGACATATAAAAGCAAATCATCTGCATATAACGATATATAGCCTTAGTTCTGCATGACTCCTGATGATTCTATTAACACTGGACAATGCATGATTTTTAAATAACTTATTTGTGTGCTACTGCTGCAAGTGCGTATTTGAATATTTGTGAAAATCAATGTTAATGTTTGATAGTAGCCTTTGTCTTCAGTTTCAGTCTTTTCCTGTGGTTTTTCTCTAGGTTTGCACTGCAGCAGGGATGTTGGCCCAATCCTCCACACATACAGTATCTTCTCTAGATCAGCCAGAGGTATCTGGGCTGTCGCTGAGAAACAGTTTGAGTTCCTCCAAAGATTTTCTACGGGGTATAGATCTGGTGACGGTCCACATGTGCTTTGTGGACTTGGTGAAGGCATTCGACCGTGTCCCTTGGGGAGCCTTATGGGAGGTTTTCCGGGAGTTTGGGGTACCGGGCCCTTTGATATGGAGTGTCAGAGTCTGGTCCGCATTACCGGCAGTAAGTCAGGCACATTTCCGGTGAGAGTTGGACTCTGCCAGGGCTGTCAGAAAGCGAACCTCTTGATTTACCTGTCAATCTATGTTCCTAAACTCATGAGCTTTGGGTCATGACCAAAAGAATGAGGTCGCAGATACACGCGTTTTCTTCGTAGGGTGGAGACTCAGAGTGACTCAAAGTAGAGCCGCTACTCCTTCACGTCGAGAGGAGCCAGTTGAGGTGTCTCGGGCATCTGGTCAGGATACCTTCTGGACGCCTCCCTGGTGAGGTGTTCTGGGCACATCCCACTGGGAAGAAGCCCTGGGGAAGGACATGCTGGAGGGACTTTATCTGTCAGCTGGACTGGGAACACCTTGGGGTTCGCCAGGAAGAGCTGGAACAAGTGGCTGGGGAGAGGGAAGTCTGGGCCTCCCTTCTGAAGCTGCTACCCCTGCGACCCGACCTCGGAGAGAAATACCGGTAATCTAAAAAAATCTGTAAATCACAGACACCTCCATGATTTCTAGGTGGGAGAACTAGAAACAGTCTGAGGGAGGGTATTCAAATACTTACTTTTCTCACTGTACAATGAAATGGTTGGAGAAGAAATAAGGCGTTCCAAAGGTCAAGTCAATGTCCAAACTTTAGTTTGGTTGAATCACAAGAGCTGTGAAGAAATTGACTACAACCTCTTTGAACTGTTACTTCAAGTTCTTGTGGCTGAATGTTGTAATAACTTCCAAGTTATTTAGTCAGAAAGTGGAAATGAGCGTCTCATTGAAGTGTTCTCCTTTCTACCATGATTATGAAACTCTCAGGCACATGTGTGTTTTTCAGTTCAATCAACACACCATTATGTGAGCAGATGTTCTTTATGTTACATGTTTGGAAAACCTCCCACCTACTGCAGCTCGTAGGAAATGGCAAGATCAGCAGAACGTGAGGTTTATTGTTCCTCAATTTGATGTAAAATAATCTTTGTTTTTGTTCAGGGAGTCAATTGAAGTTTCCATATTTGGCGAGTTTGCGGATCATCCAGTGTGTTTCACCACATCACTATAACAGAAGATTATTGAGAGGTGGAGTGGTCAGTTTATTTTTCCTATGAATCTGAAAAAGAAAGAATATTCTATTAATATCATTATGTTAATGCATCAGCAGTTTCTACTTTATTAAAGTGGAAGTGATCCTATGCTGCATTCAGATCCATATTTCATTTCAGTGTTAAGTGGAAGATGGTTTGAATATAAATGCATAAGTACCATAAACCCTTAGTAATAAAGAATATTATTTTTGATGCCCTTTCTGATCTCAGTCAACAGACTTTCTGTTTTGTTAAGACAATCCGATATGTGAAAAAAACCAAACTCTGGGTGGTGTCTAAAATGCGTAGCTTGGCTTTTAATAACACACATGAATTGTCACAGATCAGATTGAAGGTCCATCATAGAGCAAAACAAAGACAACACTGTTATCTGTAACAAAGTGGTTGTTAAGTCGCTTTATCATTCACTGATGCAGGTTGTTCTCCTCTTTAGATCAGAAAATCTTTCAGAATATACATTTTAGATGACATGTTTATAGCTAACTAGTAAATTTTACAGTTTCAACTTGTAGAATATGCAAAAAAATAGAGTCAAAATGTTTGCTTCTTTAATTATTCAACACATAACCCAATTGACCTTGATGCTGCCTTTATCTGTGTGGCAGCTGCAGTATAATGAAACAACAGTTTAAATGGAAACCTGAAGCCTTTTCAATACTGGGGACAACGATCGTACCAACTGTACTGATGTGAGAAATGTTTGGTACTTTCTGTGTTTCTCTAAATGCTTTGCACAAATGAAAAAAACAAACAAAAAAACATTCAGACATGATTCCATCCAATAAATGTTCAGAAAAAGCAGAAAAAGGATTAAACAGGACTCAACATGTTGAATAAAAATAACACAAGTATCCAGTCAGGGGGCGCTGGCATTCATTTTCTCCTGGCAGCTGTCCCAGAAGATTTGGAGTCTGTTGTCCTTGTTACAACAGAAGTCAGTCAAGTCCCTTAGCAGGCGGTCAGCCAGCCGTTCATCGCCCAACACGCCCGTCCTCCAGGCTTTGGTCAGCATGGTGTTGTAGGCCCAGTAGTAGCCCACCCTCTCCTCGCCGCCAAACGGCCCCTGGCT